TTACTGAATTCATTTATTCTAATAGATTTTTCATGGAGTCTTTAGGATTTTCTAAATATCACGTCATGTTATCTACAAATAATGAGAGTTTTATTTCTTCCTTTCTATTTTGTATACCTTTTATTTCTTTTTCTTATTTGCTGTAAGCTGTGACTTCCAATATGACGCTGAATAGAAGTGGTGATAGTAGACATCCTTGTCTTCTTCCTGATCTTACAGGAAAATCTTTCAGTTTTTTATCATTGAGTATGATATTAGCTGTGGGTTTATCATATATAGCCTTTATTATGTTGAGATATGTTTTTTCTATACCCACTTTGTTGAGTTTTTATCATAAAGGGATGCTTAATTTTTTCAAGTGCTTTTTCGGTATCTATGGAGATGATCATATGGTTTTTATCCTCTATTTTGTTAATGTGATATATCACATTGATTTACAGATGTTGAACCATCCTTGCATCCCTGGGATGAATCCCACTATGTTATGTCATGGTGTATAATCCTTTTAATGTGTTGTTGAATCAAATTGCTAATATTTTGTTGAGAATTTTTGCATCTGTGTTCATCAACAATATTGGCCTGTATGAATATTTCTTATAAATGGAATTATATAATATATGGGTTTTTGTGTCTGCCTTCTTTCATGTTCACAAGGTTCATACAGTTATAACAAGTATTAGTATTTAATTCCTTTTTTTGACCAAATAATTTTCCATTATGTAAACCACATTTTGTATATTCATTCATTAGTTGATAGACACTTGAATTGTTTCTGCTTTTTTGCTATTTTGAATGATCCTGCTATGAAAATTCCTATGCAAGTATCTTTTTGAGTACATGTTTTCATTTTTCTGTATATCTAGGAGTGGAATTGCTGGGTCACATGGTAAGTCTGTTTAACTCTTTTAAAAATGTAATTGATTGATTTGAGAGAAAGAGAGAGGGAGGGGGAGAGGTGAAAGGGGGGTAGAAAGAGAAACATCAATTTTTTTGTTCCACTTATGTATTCTTTGGTTGATTCTTATATGTGCCCTGACCAGGGATCAAACCACCACCTTGGCATATTGGGGCAACGCTCTAACCAATGGAGCTACCTGGCCAGGATCCGTTTAACTTTCTGAGAAACCACCAAATTGTGCTGAGCATTTTTCTTACATTAGGCACCAAGTCTTCACAATGGCTCTGCCAAGGAGAAACCACCTCCATTTTGAAGACAAGAATAATGAGGCTCAGAGATGTAGAGCCATGTGCTGAAACATGATAGAACCCATCCTGCTGGGTTCAGCTCTGGCTGAGGTGACTCTTCTCTGGGCAGCCCCCATATCTCATATATCCTCCTCATCTTCCTCCATAAGTACAGGAGCTATATATACTCCTCCTCCAGGGCAGCTACACAAGGCTTAGAGGCAGCTCTGGGAGTGGCAGATGAATATGCAGCCTCCAAAGACTGAAAGAGGAAGAATCCTGTGAACCCTAGCACCTGAAGGATGTCCAGAGGAAACTGGCCAAGGAAGCTGAGAACAGGAGAGAGGAGTGGGGCTGAGAGAAGATAGGACGACTTGGAGAGTTGTCTGTGGGGTTCCACCATGGGGCCAAGAGACAGACCCTGAGCTATTTGCCTTTTCTGTGAAGGCTCTGGGTGGAGTGTGGCAGCTCTGTATGTCCTATGCCTACAGTAACTGACAGGCAAGGCCATTCTCCTCTCCCCGCCTGAGCAGCTTCAGCATCCCTGCTGGGCAGGAAGGTGGGACAGGACACATGGGGTGGATCCCCTCTTATGTACCAAGCACCAGCTGAGTGCTTTACAAAGGTGGCATCTAGGAAAATGATAGAAAGCATGGCAGCTAACATATGCTGTATGCTCCCAACTGGTCATGGGGAGGGTACAATCCATTATCCCCATTTTATACATAAAGAGCAAGGCATTGGGGAACGCCTGAGCAGTCACACAGCTGGTGGGCCGGAGCAGAGACTGGACCTGCAAGTGGAGGCTGCTGTGCAGCTGGGAAGGGGGCCAGCCAAGGCTGCAGTGAACTTGCCGCCAGCTCTACTCCAGGCCAAGCCTCAGCAATTCTGCTGGCTCAGTAGCCCCTCCTCCCAGGGATGAGGTCTGAGGCCTGACTTCCTGGAAGGCTGCCCAAATCCCACACGTCTGAATTGTAATCCCTCTGCTGGATCAGCCAGCCCGCCCTGCAGTCCCCATCCCCAGGCTTGGGGAACCCTAGGAAGACATACATCTCTGTATTCATATGGATCCACCCGTCAGCCCTGGCGTGCAGGCAGAACTGCTGGCCCATTTTACAGATGAGGCAGCTGAGTGTCTGGAGCTTGTCCGAGGTCGCTGGGCTGGCCAGCAGCAGATCTAGGACTTCCTGACCCTTCCTAGGGGGTTAGCTTCACCAAGCAGGGTGAATCTAGGAGAATCTGTATAGATCTTTTCCCAGGTCTGTCCTGAAAGTAGACCATACAGCAAAGTGCCCACCCCTAGGTGTGAGGAAGCTAAGGGGTAGAGTTGGAGCTGGAGCTAGGCAAAGAACAAAAGTGCAGCAGCTGCAGGCAGGGGCCGGCTCATTACCCAGAGGAATCTGAGAATTCTAAATTGGAACTCGGCCTTTCAGGTCATAATGAAGGTATATTTGTCAAGCTAGGATAATAGAACATATTTTATTTAATAGGTTATTAGCATGATTTAAAACATTTAAGTATTTAGACATTCAGTGTGTAGGCCTCTATTTGTACTTTGGCCCCAGGTCCTGCAAATGTTAGGCTCAGGCCAGAGTGGTTTATCTTAGCCAGCCAACACATAGAAATAATGGGAAGAACGATTGTTATCTTTTCCCCCCCTTTTTTGTAGTGTTTCCTGCGGTCACACTGCTAGAGTCTTCAGATACAAAGATGAATAAAATACAGTTGCTTCTCGGATAGCCCAGGTAGAAAGACCCAAGAATATCACAATATTCACACCAGCCATTTCTTGAGCACTTACTAAGTTCTACTGCAAAGTGCTTTATTGATTGCATCAAAATATATCCTCAGCCCCAGCTGGTGTGGCTCAGTTCATTGAGCACCAGCCTGCAAACCAAAAGGTCACTGGTTTGATTCCCATGTCTGGGTTGTGGGCCAGGTCCCCGGTTGGGGGTGTGCAAGAGGCAACTAATTGATGTTTCTCTCCCCCTCTTTCTCCTCCCCCACTCTGTCTAAATAAATAAATAATTATATATATATATATATATATATATATATATATATATATATATATATATCTCCTCAAATAACCTAAAAGGAATATCATTCTTACCACATTTTACAGAGGGGAAACTAAGACTCAGAAAGATAGAGTGGCTGAAAAAACAAATCCAGTAGGAGGCAGAACAGGAACAAGTGCAGAGGCTAATGTGAGTTCTAAGCAGACTCATGACCTGGAGACCCTTGGATGTCAGGTGAGTTACTTGCCTTCTCTGAGCTTCAGTTTCTTCATCTGTAAAATGGGCACATTAAGTTCAAGCTCATCTATGAAGTGACTAGCACACTTCCAGACTCAGCAGGTGCCCAGGAACTGGTGACCATAAAGGATGGGTGAAAGGGTTCTTGTATTCTGGCAGCCCAGACCCAGGCTTGCTCCCTTAGCTTCATGGGAGACCCCATGGTGGTAGTGGGGAAATGACCAGCTGCCAAGATCAGGGGAATTCAGTGCCTGCTATTTCCCCTCCCTTACCCTCTGGTAACCTTCCTTCTAGAGGTGTTTAATGGTCTGGGATGTAAAGAGGAGGTGCATCAGACTATATCATGTGTGCAAACTCACCTAACAGCCTTATCCCATTAGGGTGATGATCGTCTCTTCCCTACAAATGAGGAAACAGCCTGAGCTAGGAAACACACTCCAAGACTGATGTCTCTGGAATGCTGCAGGCTTTATAAGGTGAGGGCCTGAGGTCCAAGAGGTCAGAATGGTAAAGTGTGTGTATGTGTGTTGGGTGTGTCAGGCCTGTTTAGCATCGGTCAAGCAGGACTGCCCTGTCTGTGGCTGGAGGCTGGAGGGGTAAACAGGCTTTGGTGGGGGCTCAGATTGGTGCAGGGCAGGCTTGTGACCCCATTTGGGCTGGGGATAAAGGGACTGAGGACCCTTTGGTGGTAGGTGGGGGCTGGACCCCAGTTGAGGGTGCTGCACTGGGGGTGGGGTTCACATTGTGAATGTTGCCCTGTGTTGTTTATGGAGAGAGCCAGAGGATTCAAGAGAAGGTGCAGTTGGGGTGGGGGTGGGGGGTGCGGGTTCCCTGACACTGAATTCATTATTGGGAGATTCCTCTTCACAGTCCCTCGACACCTCCCACGGGAACCATGGGCCAGAAATGTCTGACAGCCTCTGGCGCGCCGGCTCCCGTGCCCCCGCTAGTGCCCGGGTTCTCTCCTTGCCCGGGTCCCCACCCGCCCACTGCCGCCGAGTTACTCCCCCGCTTGGGTCCCGCAGCCTCTGGAAGCCTCCCTCAGGCTCAGCCTCGAGGCACCGCCGCCCTGTCAGGACTTAGGGTCCATCCCCCTGGTCGCTGCTCTCCCTAGACTGCTGCGCTGCGGGGGTGACGGGCTGTCCGCAAAAGCAGGGCCTGACTCCCGCGGCCTGCACGTGGGGAGGGGGCGTCTCAGGACTAGGCGGCCTGAGGTAGGGGCGGAGCCAAGGAGCCGGGCGCGCGGCTGGCGCGGGCGCACGGAGGTCAGCGGCCGCAAGAGGGGGACCCAGGCGTCCAGGAGGCGGTGCCAGGTGCCTCGCCCCCGCCTCGCGCCCGCCGCCGGCCCCCGCCCCCGGGCCGCCCCCCACCCGTGACGCGCTCCCCGCCCCATCCGCGCCGGGAGCCCGAGCGGGAGCCGGAGGACGGCGAGGGGCGCGGGCGGCGGGGGAGGGAAGAGGATGCGGCCGGCGCCGCGGGGCAGCCGCCGCCGCCGCCGCCTCTGAGCCGCGCCGAGAGCACGGAGCGCTGCCGCGTCGTTGCGGCCCCGGCCGTGCCATGGGGAAGGAGCAGGAGCTGGTGCAGGCGGTGAAGGCGGAGGACGTCGGGACCGCGCAGAGGCTGCTGCAGAGGCCGCGGCCGGGGAAAGCCAGTGAGTGTAGGGGGCGCGGGGTGGGGGTGGGGGGTGGCGGGAGCCGCGGCACGCTCGGGGGCCACCTCCAGCGTCGAGCCCCTAAACCCTCCCAGCGAAGGGCGGGGAGCGGTGGAGCGCGGGGGGGGGGGGGATGCTGTAGGTCCCTGGGGGCGGGGCGGGGCCGGGGCCGGGCCAACAGCGCCCAGAGCCTCGGTGCGAACCCTCATCGCCAGTCCTGAAGGAGGGGCGGCACCAAGCGCTGGGCTGTCACCCCGAGACCCCAAGCGGGCACCTGACGGCACCAACCTCTCGCAGGCGTTCGCATCCCTCCCTCCTAGCCTCGGTCCTCCTCCCTCCCCGGGCTGCGGGCTGATAACTGGAGGTCTCTGCTGGGCCTTTAAAGGGCAAGGCGATGCCCTCCCTTGGAGAGAGGGAGGGGCCCCTTGCGGTTTGGGACATCAAAGGGACTGATGGTCCCTGTCAGACCCCCTTCCCGCTCCATGTTTAATAACACGTTTGCAGGAAAGAGGGGGGAGCAGGACCATGCTGGGGGTGTGGCTGCCCAGGCATGGCTGGCTGTGGGCCATTTACTGATAGGGGAGCAGTGGTCCAAGGTCGCCCAGCCCGGGCCAGGCTGAGCTCCAAGCAGGTGCAGACCCTGAAACAGACCTTGTTCCTTTCTGGCTTCCCTAATGGGAAAGGGAGCTGTGGGAGAGGGAGGGGCATCCCACCAGCCATCCTGAGCTAGTGCTGTTAGGGCCCCAGGGAAGGGTTGGGAGCTTGGAGCCCTGATCCCAGCACTCATCCCAGCTCAAACGGGAGACTCCCCCAGGGCTTTTGGAGACGGATGGATGGGCGTGTGGACCAGCCACATGTGCGGCTGCGCACATATGACTGTGTCAGTGTGTCAGGGTACCTGTAGGGGTGTGGGTAGGGTTCTGCAGGATGGCACGTGGAGTCTGGGCACCCCACTCCCCTACCCCACCTCCTGGGACTGTATGTAAGCCAGGGAGGCCCCCCACTCCCGTCTCCTTGAAAGATGCTGAGGACTAAGGCTGCCTCAGGGAAGGTGGAAGGTGCATCCTTGAGCCTCAGAGGGACCCTCCTGCTTCATTACCTCCTTGCCAGGTCCTTTCTGCTCTGTGCTAACTAGAGAGCTACACATCTGTACCTTGCAGGCACACATACAGAGGCTGGCCTTGCCTTCCACACCCAGTTGAGGCTGGCTTCAGGGTCTGAGGTCTTCCAGGCAGATGCAGCCTCAGCTGAACCTCAAAAGCAAGTGAAGGCATTGAGAAGTGGGAGGCAAGGTCAAGACTTCCACCTAGTGGCCATGCCATCTTGGGCATAAAAAAAGCCCAGCTCCCCAGGCCTCAGTCTCCTCATCTGTAGGATGGGGATATTTGTGGTCCTCTGTATCCCAGCATTGTTGCAAAAACAGCAAGAGTGCACATGAAACCCAGGCTCTTACTAAGTGCTCAGTAAGCACTAACTAGGACCATTCCCTCAACCCAGAGCATGCAGGCCTGGGAAGAGGGAGCATCAGATTTGGGGGTTCCTCCTCCCTTCTAACTCTGGCTACCCTGGGAAGTTGTGGGGACTTTTACCTTTAGCTGGGTCTCACCTGGATCTCTGCATACACCCCTTCCTAGACTGGTGTCTGAGCTCTGACTCATGGGAGCGGGCTTAATAAGTCAGACAGAGAAATCCCTCCATGAATTAGCTCAGTCGTCATGGCAACGCTGGCCTGCTTTGGAGTAAGATGTATTTTGATTCAGCATAGTACAGCTGGAGTTTGGGCCATGGGGTGGGGGCACCCAGCAGTGCTCCCATGGGCCCCCTAGACTTCAGAGGTATCCCATAATCCTTGTTCCCATATCTCCTTGTGCTGGCACCTCCCCTTGGCCCCAGAGCTCCAGTGTGGCACCAGGCTCCATCAGTCCACCCTCCCACCTTGAAGGGAGCCTCTCTTTACACACACCAGCACTAACACCCTTAGCAGTTTCCTTGAAGGGAAGAAGGGAGAATGCTGGGTGAGGGCTGGCCTTCTGCCAGCAGGGGTGGGGAACCCTGCCCTTCCTTCTGGTCCAGCCTCCTCTTTCGGAATTTCCTGAAGACTACAGGCCATTACTCGTGCACTCTCTTACCTAGGCTCTCTCTCCAGCATCTGGCCCAGAGATACCTTCCTGGGGGGAACTGGGAAGAGACTGCATTGGCCCTGCTTCCCTGGAGGAGCTGGGAGGGTGTCTTGTCCCCCGGAGGCCATAGGGCTCAGCCACTCTGAGATGGGACTAGAGAAGACCAGAACCATATCCCTGTAGAGGAAGAAGTAACTCTGTGGGGGTGGCCTATAAATGGCTTCTGAGGTTGGAGGAGCCTCTGTCTGGGCAGAGGGGTTGAGGGAGACCATGAGGGCGGGCTGGGAGAGGGGCTGGGGCCTCTGCAGCCTGGAGTTTGGAGCTGACTTCAAAGGTAGAGATGGCCTCAGGAGAGCAGTTTAGAGAGGCTGAGGTGACCAGAGATCGGAGAGCCCAAGTAGTGATGATTGGTTGGGGGGCAAAGTTTATGCGCCCTCACTGATGTAGCGTGCATAGGACTTAGTGCCCTTGTGGAAAGGGAAAGGGGGCTGCTAAGACCTTCAGCTTGGTTCCCACTCGTCCCTTCTCCCCCACCTACCGGGGCCCCTCCAGCTGTGCTCTGCTCCAGCTTCATTCAGAGCCCCTGTCTCCGCCTGGTTCAGCCCCCCAGTCCCATGCAGACTTCATTCCTTGGTGGCTAGTGTCTGCCACAGGAATTGGGGAAGTGCTCCAAGACCTCAAGCTCTCCTCCATCAAATTCCAGCTATTTTCCTCTTTGAGGAGACCAGTGGCAGGGAGAGGGTAAGATGACCTTAGCGTGATACCCCTCCTCATGGGATAAGTTGTCCCTTTTGGAATGGAGACTCCTCCTCCACTGGTGTCTGTGTCACTCCAGCCCCTTTGAAATTTCAGGTAAGGCCAGGTGAGCAGGTGGGCCTGGCTATTTGTTCCACTTGGAGCACTGAGCTCAGCAGCTGCCTGGGAGTAGTTGACTGTGAGAAGGAGGAAAAGAGTCTAGACTGGGAAGTCTTGCGAGAGAAGTTGAGAACTGGATACTAAGAACTGGAACTAAGAAAAGTGACAGGCAGCAAACATTAGACTTGGGCAGAGTGTTGTGTGTGTGTGCGTGGGTGGGGGTGTTTGAGAATGTCCTGAATGTGGCCCTAGGCAGGATTGGGGTGGGGGTGCTACAGGACAGCCTTGTCTTCAATTTAGTAAGAGACTGTGGCAGGCCAGGCTGCACAATTCTCAGGGCCCAGTGCAACATGAAAACACGGGTGTCTTGTCCAAAAGTTAAGAATTTAAGATGGTGACAGCAGAGCATCCAACTAGATGGGGGGCCCTTCTGAGTGACTGCACAGGTCACATGCTTAAAACGGGCCCTGGCAGGTGGACAGAGTGTGTGGGACTAGGCTATGACTTCAGTCTCTAATTTACTGAGCACCTTGTATGTACCTGGCACTGTTTCAGCCTGCAAGAGTACAGCAGTGAGCAAAATAAATAAAAACGCATGTCCTCTTGGAGCTAGCAGTTTAGTGATGGAGATGGGCAATAAACAAGATCAATGGTGGTGACGGAGGCTAAAGAGAAAAATACAACAGACATGGGGCGGGAGGGGGTTACCATTTTATTTTTAAGATTTATTTATTTACTTTGAGAGGGGATGGGAGGGGGAAAGAGAGGGAGAGAAACAGCCATGTGAGAGAGAAAATTGATAGGTTGCCTCTTGCACACGCCCTTGACTGGGCCCCCAACCCAGGCAAGAGCCCCGACCTGGAATCGAACAGGTGACCCCTCATTTTGCAGAATGATGCCCAACCAACTGAGCCACACCAGTCAGGCAGGGTTTATCATTTTAGATGGGGAGACCAGGGAGGCTTCACCAAGCTGGTGACATTTGAATACAGACCTGAAGGAAATGAGGGAAAGAATCACAGGAATAACTGGGGGAAGAAAAGTCCACACATATATATTGGGTTGGCCAAGAAGTCCATTTAGTTTTTTCTGTAAAATAAGACACATTTTTCATTTTCACCAATAACTTGATTGATCTGGATATTTTGAGGATGTCAGCTATCTCCCGCTGTTGGCACCTAGTGGTCAGAGGCTGGGGTGCTGGTAAACATCTTCCAATGCGTAAGGCAGCCCCACAGCAAAGAATTATTTGGCCAGGATGTCAGTAGTACCAAGAAACTTCGCAGACCACTTTTCACATGTTTGATCAGTCACAGCACCTTCTCCATATACTACACAAACCTTTTTTTATGTTTCAGTTGCATTTTTACCTGTCTTGAAATAATAAAGCATAATACACCAAAAATGTTGCTGATTTTCTTCCATCTTCAAGATTAAAATGGCTGAGCAAAAATTCACCAATTTTGATGTTTTAAAAAAGATTTATTTTTAGAGTGAGGAGAAGGGAGAGAGAAAGAGAGGGAGAGAAACATCAGTTGGCTGCTTCTCGCACACCCCCAACTGGGGACATGGCATGCAACCCAAGCATGTGCCCTAACCAGGAATTGAACCACAGACCTTTCAGTTTGCAGGCCTGCACCCAGTCCACTGAGCCACACCAGCCAGAGCTGGTAAGTTGTTTTTTTAAATGCACACTGATATGACAGCTGTCACAATACAATCTAACATAATTGTTTCGAATGAAGTTAAAGACAGCTAAGTGCTACTAGAGGCATCGTACAGAAAAAAACTAAAACTTTTTTTGTCAACTCAATATAATGTGTGCTAAGTCCCTGTAGCAAGGTAGCCAGTATGTCAGAGCACCATCATATGGCTGAAATGGGGGTGCTGAGGAGGTCAAGGACTGCATCATGCAGAGCCATTGTTCAGTGTGACAGGTGCTTTTGGAGAATCTTCTGGAGAGGAGCGAAGGGACTGGACTCATGTTCTAATAGGATTCCCCGACCTCAGGTGGTGTGGAGGATAGACTGAACAGGGCAAGGAGGAAGTGAGGACACCAGTGGGGAGGTGAGAGCAGTGGTCCTTCCAGAGATGCTAACCTGGCCCAGGGTGGTGACAATGGCAGTGGCGAGAAGTGGTAAAATCCTGAGTGTGCTTTCAGAGTGTCATAAAAGTAGAGCCAGTGGAATTTATCAATGGAGAAGATTTAAGGTATCGGGAAGGGACCCAGGGCTGCTTTCAAGGTCTTGACCTGGACCACTGAGGGAAGGGTGGCATTGCTGCCATTGTAAATGGACTTCAGTGCCAGCAAAGTGTCCGAGCAGAGAGGGAGGGACAGGGAGTAGCAGTGCCTTTCTTTCTGGAGCCTCTGCTCTGCACAGGAGAAGCCCCCTGTTGCCGGAGGGTGTGGGTGGGGTTCCCGTAGAGCTAATATTAGTCATCACTACTTACTGAGTCGACTCCTTGCCAGACCCTTCATGCTTTATGTCTGGAAACGTCCTTAGGCCTGTGAAGCCAGCCCTCTTAGTCCCCTTCAAGCTCAGGGCCAAGGCCATAGGGGTAGTAAGGGGCAAAGGGAGCATTTGAATTCAGGCCTGTCTGACTTTGCAGGCTTTGTGGGCCATTGGGAGACTCACACCCTGCACTGAGCTGCCCTACAGCAGCCCCTCTGTGACTCAACTCCTTCAGTTCCTCCAGTTCCTCGCTTTTGGGCCCCCCTGCCCCCATCTCTGTCCTTGGCCTGACAAAGGGGCTTCTGTCCTGCCAGCCCCTCCCTCCCTCACGAAACAACTGACCCACAAATGGGTTATGTAACCATGGCCTAGACAGGCAGGGGTTTGGCGTGAGCCTGGCTGGACCTGAGCCCATGGGGAGGATGTCAGTGGGCCCCCCTCCTCTGTCAGGCAGCTTCTGGGGGCGAGGACCTGGGAGGCCCCAGGAGGAGACTAGAGCTCTGAAGGGAGCACTTGGGCCCCCCAGGCTGTTACTCCTGGGGCCTGAGCCTGCCCCTGTAGGTGAGGTGGCCATTCTCATGGGGTCAGTCAGAGCCACTGGACCAGTTGCCTGCCTCCCTTTCATGCCCTGCTGAGTGGGGCTCATCTGTAGTGGCCAGGCCCAGGGCTGGGAGTAGGGGAAGGCTATAGCCTGGAAATGCAGATTTTCCCTCAGAGATACCCTCATTTCTTGGTGTCCAAGCCTTCCCGGGCCACCCCCGGCCCATCTGGGTCCTTCTGAGAGACAGATTGGGCTGGCTCTCTCCCTCCTACTATCAGCAGAGGATACATGTGCACATATGTGGATGTATAACCCTGGCTTCTGTTCCCAGGCAGGGACAGGCCCAGAAACTTTGGCCCTGTGGACCTCCCAACATCTGAGTTTAGTGGGAAACTAAGGTCCTAAAGCTGGCACCTGGTGCTGAGTGCTGGGAACAGAGTTGAATGAATGAATGAATGAATGAATGAATGATTCTAGACTAAACACTTGGATAGCTTTGGCTCAGAGCCTGCCAGGGAGCCAGCTAGTACCTTCTGCCTGCTCTTAAGCTGCTGGAGGGGGCTAGGACCCAGGCAGGCTACAGGAGGGGCTGGACAGAGCCCCCGCCTCACTGTGTCTCCTTCCCATTCCCAGAGCTCCTGGGTTCCACCAAGAAGATCAATGTCAATTTTCAGGACCCGGATGGGTGAGTTCTCAGCCAGGGGGATACCAGTCTGGGATGAGGGCTGGGGGGCTCCTGGGGAAGGCCAGGAGCCCAAGTACTTGCCCATATGTGTTTGTCACCTGCCCCAGCTTCTCTGCCCTGCACCACGCGGCCCTGAATGGCAACACAGAATTGATTACCTTGCTGCTGGAGGCTCAGGCTGCTGTGGACATCAAGGACAACAAAGGCAAGGCCTGTCAGGAATCTTAGAGCCAGAGGGCTGGGGTTGAGGTGAGGGGTCCCTTGAGGACTGGATGGTCCCTCGACTGAGGTCACCACCAGGGTCTCAGGCTGGGTCTAGGAAGGTCCTCATGGGATCTGCGTTTGAGAGGTCGGGGTGGGCTCAGGATCAGAGGCCAGCTCCCAATGGCCCCTGCCTGCCCCCAGGCATGCGGCCACTGCACTACGCAGCCTGGCAGGGCCGGAAGGAGCCCATGAAGCTGGTGCTAAAGGCAGGCTCAGCAGTGAACGTCCCATCGGATGAGGGCCACATCCCCCTCCATCTAGCAGCCCAGCACGGTCACTATGATGTGGTGAGAACCACCTCAGGGATTGCAGGGTGCCTGGGGAGGCATGGGCCTGACGGACACCCTGGGGTTGATTGTGCTCCGTGGGCCCTGCAGTCTGAGATGCTGCTGCAGCACCAGTCCAACCCGTGCATGGTAGACAACTCGGGGAAGACACCCCTGGACTTGGCCTGTGAGTTCGGCCGCGTTGGGGTAAGTCTCCCAGAAGCTGAGAGGCACTCCAAGTCTGTCTTCCTGTCCTCCCCTGAGCCTGGAGTGGGGGACAGACCCATGACCCCCGGCCCATTTCTGGGCCGCCCCCCACTCTGATCCCTTCTTCAAGGTGGTCCAGCTGCTCCTGAGCAGCAACATGTGCACAGCCTTGCTGGAGCCCCGGCCAGGGGACACCACTGACCCCAATGGCACCAGCCCCTTGCACCTGGCAGCCAAGAATGGTCACATCGACATCATCAGGTATCGTCATGTGCAGGTGGGGTGGGGATTTCCAGCTCAAGGGTGCTGCTCCTGGCTTGGTGATAAGACAGGAGCAGTCTGGGAGCTGTGGGCATGTGGTCAGGCCTCTGGATGCCCAGGACACTTCCAGCTGCCCCCTTGAAGGATGTGCTGGAGGAGGCTAGGGAGTGGGCATCCGCAGCCACATAGCCTGGGCTCCATTGCAGTCCTGCCTCTTGCTGGGTGACTTCGTGGACCCACTTAACTTCTCTGAGCCTCAGTTTCCCCATGGACATCATAGCAGTGCCTGTGCTGGGATGAGACAAGATAACCACCATGAATGGTTAGCACAGGGCAGGCACATCCACAGGTGCTCATTGTCAGGTACCCTGTTGTCAGGGAGGCGGGTAGGGCTGGTTAGTCCTTAGGCACTTGGAAATCAGGGCCCAGCTTTGGGGTGCTGGGGCAGGGGGCTCCTGCCAAAGGTCCTGCCTGTTCTCCCTGCCTTCCCACCAGACTCCTCCTCCAAGCTGGCATTGATATTAACCGCCAGACTAAGTCTGGCACGGCCCTGCATGAGGCTGCACTCTGTGGGAAGACAGAAGTGGTTCGGCTGCTGCTGGACGTGAGTTGGAGGTCCAGGGGGAGCTGGGTCTAGTAGGGGGTGGGGGGATGGGGGCTCTTGACAGACCTCACCTTTTGGCACATACAGAATGGGATCAATGCTCACGTGAGGAACACGTACAGCCAGACAGCCCTGGACATTGTACACCAGTTCACCACGTCTCAGGCCAGCAAGGAGATCAAACAGCTACTGCGAGGTGGGCCCAGGCGGGGCAGGGGGTCTGCAGCAGGGCCTGGGCCAGGCTGGTTCAAAGGACTGGGGAGTCTACCTCCTGTATCTCCAGAAGCCTCGGCAGCTCTGCAGGTCCGGGCAACCCAAGATTATTGCAACAATTATGACCTGACCAGCCTCAACGTGAAAGCTGGGGATATCATCACAGTAAGGATGGCCTAGGGCTGCTGCAGCAGGGGTGGGTGGGACCTGGGATGCTCACACCACAACATTTTCCCCTCAGCAACTGGGAAGTCTGGGGTCTGGGCAGAAGGCCCAGGCCACCCACCCACTTGACCCAGAAGTCTCCCTGAGTGTTCTCTCCCTACCTCACCTGGTCAGGTCCTTGAGCAGCATCCAGATGGCCGGTGGAAGGGCTGTATCCATGACAACCGGACAGGCAATGACCGGGTGGGCTACTTCCCATCCTCCCTGGGCGAGGCCATCGTAAAACGAGCAGGCAAGTCCTACCCCAGGTCTGGGCCAGAAGGAAGTAGGCGCGCGTGTATGTTGTATGGCAGAGCAAGGACTGAGCTCTAGCCATTGCTAGGGGTAGGGTCCAAAGTGCTGTCCAGAAGTGTGTCCTGCCAGCTGTCTCCTTGTCAGTGTCCTCATGCCCATTTCTTCACTTATTCAACAGACATTGCACACCAACCACTAGGAACAGATGGTGACTCAGATGGACATCATTCTTGCTTTCAAGGAGCTTGCTCCCAGGGAGGGAAGGGAGAGAGGACAGTGCAGTAAACATGGAGGAAAACATTCCAGCCAATGACAGGAAATGTGGATGGAGATCTGCTTTAGATAGGATAGTCAGAGAAGACCCTGAGAAATGGGAGGGACTGGCTATAGGCAGAGCAATCCAGGCTGTGGGGACCACATGTACAAAGGAACTAAGGCAGGAAAGAGTGTGAAGGTCCAAAGGAGGCCAGCATGGCTGGCGCAGAGTGAAGGAGAGGGATGCAGGACATGGCCACAGGGCCTGGAGTGGTTTCAGGCAGGGGACTGGTGAGGTCACAGAGATGGACAGGTGGGGTGAAAGAGCAAAGTGGTCTGGTTAGGAGATGTAGCCACCCCACCCACTGGAATCTAGTTCCCTGGGGTAGGGGGCGTGGCCCCAGGCTCCTGCGTTGCCTCTTCCCTCCCCACTGTTCCCCAGGTACAGAGGAGGTTGCACACTCTGGCCATCCACACTGCCCCACAGAGCCACAGGGCCACTGGCAAGATAGCTGGCCTTGGACCTTTCTCTGCCACATTCTCCTGCTGTCAAATATCTGGGGTGGGGAGTGGTCTTCTAAGGGTCTCTCAGGGAGGGAGGAGACTGTAGTGCTGACCCCTGAGGCATGTATGTGTTGGGCCTCTACTGAGGTTCAGGGTCAGGCCAGAGGACACCCTTTTCTCAGTGTCAGGCTCCCAGGCCTGAGCTGGTCCAGGACTCAGGGAGACTATGCTTGGCTCACAGGTTCCAGAGCAGGCGCTGAACCAAGCCCGCCTCAAGGAGGCAGCTTGTCGGGACCCTCTGCACCTCCTGAAGAGATCTGGGTGCTGAGGAAGCCTTTTGCAGGTAGGGGGGTAGCCTCTGGAGGGCAGGGGCGACAGCACTTCTGCAAGGCTAGACGGCCAGCACCAGCTGATATTCCCTTGTGCTGGCAGGCGGAGACAGAAGTGGCAGCTTGAGCAGTGTGGCTGTTGGCCGGAGCAGTGGGGCCCACACCCTGCATGCAGGCTCTGAAGGGGTCAAGGTAGGTGGGGTGGTGGCAGGGCCAGGGTGGCCTGTGCCCAGAGCAGCGCTGGCCAGCCAGTCTGTCTGGGTTGCAGCTCCTGGCAACAGTGCTCTCCCAGAAGTCCATCTCAGAGTCTAGCCCCGGGGACAGCCCCGTGAAGCCTCTGGAGGGCTCCGCAGGTAAGAGCAAGGACGCAACACTGTTGTCCTGGCAGAGAGGTGGCCCCTGAGCAGCCCTTGCCCATGCCCATGCCCTTTCATCCCCAGGTGCAGCTCGGTCCCAGCCTCCAGTGGCCCACGGAGGGCAGGTCTATGTAGAGCAGCCACCCAAGAAGCTGGAGCCAGCATCGGAGGGCAAGGTACAGGGCCTGGGCTGGCAGCAGGGAGGGGTGCCCAGGGCAGCCTTCCTGGCCTGGCTACGATACCACTGAGGGCTCTTGACGGGCTAGCCCCCTCCTTCTGTCTGTCTCAGTCTGTGTGTGTAGGTGTTGTCTACTGTGTGAGCTAATATGTCTAAGAAGTGTGACATGGGTGTGAGATGAACGAGGGTGTGCATGGGTGTGTGGTGTGACTGTGAGGCGGGCACGTGTGCGTGTGTGTGCTTGTGAAAGGGCATGTGTGTGAGACAAAATGTGTGCATGGGTGAGATGGACCCTGTGCGTGTGACCTGCATGCTGGGGAAGGTGCGAGCTGCTGGCTGAGTCCTGCATTCCTCTGGGCAAAGCACACCTCCCAGGGAGTGAGGGGCTGTGCTGAGGCCCCATTCCCAGAGTCCTTCACATGGGGCCACATTGTAGGGTGTCCCTGGTGCAGGAACAGGGTTGGGGGGATGGTCAGGGAGCAGTTGGACCCTCCTGGTGGAGATCACGGAATGAGGCTGCAGTGCTGCGCAATGCTCAAGATGGCGGCATCCCGGACCACAGAGTGAGGAGGGAGCACCGGTGCCAGACTGATTGGGGCCTAGCTGCATATGGACCAGCGGACAGCAGACTGAGCTTACAAAGGAGGCACCATGGTGGCTGGGGTGTGCACCTGGTGGGTGGGTGGGTGGGCGGGCCTGCAGCGGGTGCCTTGTGTCTTCCAGAGCGCTGAGGCTGTTAGCCAGTGGCTCGCCACGTTCCAGCTGCACCTGTATGCCCCCAACTTCCTCAGCGCTGGCTATGATCTGCCTACCATCAGCCGCATGACCCCTGAGGTGAGCTGCCCAAAGGCTGGCCATCAGCCATGACCCAGAAATAGGCCCCCAGCCTCCAGCTAACAGGCCTCTCCTCTACCTAGGACCTCACGGCCATTGGGGTCACCAAGCCAGGCCATAGGAAGAAGATCACAGCAGAGATCAGCAGCCTCAGCATCCCTGACTGGCTGCCTGAGCACAAACCTGTAAGGCTCCCTGCACCTTATGGCTGGGCTCAGGATGGGCAAACAGACAGACAAACTGCCTCCCTGGTTACAGCCCTCGCCTGCCCTCTGGGGCTCCAGGGAGAGGAGACCAGAGGATAGCCACCCAGCAGTGACCCACCTGGACCACCTTTGTTCATCACAGGCACTGGGGCCAGGCTTCCTGAGGCAGGGGCAGGGGTAACAACCTGTGAGGGCCCTCAGGGTGAGGGGAGAGTACCCCTCTCCACTACATGCTCCTGCAAAGACCTCCTCCCTATTCAGGCAGTCACACTGGGATACCTGGCACTCCCTCAACGCTGCCCATTGCACACCCACCCAGACAGCACAGAGGCGCCTGCGTTGATGGGATGTGCTTGCACACACCCAGGCATATGTGTGGGGAGGATGTGTGTGTGTGTGCTTCATGTACACAGACAGCACATGCACATTAAATATATTCAAGGTGCTCATTGATGACTGCATGCACACACCCATGCCTTTAACTATACGTGCCAGCTGTGCTGATGGCTGACACCCACACTGACCACAGGCTGTGCTATTACTGTCAGGCACCCATGTGGTGGGACAGGTTCTGGGCCAGGAAAAGGTAGGCCCAGGGCCTGTTGCATCAATGCTGCCTCTCTGGTCCTCATGCAGAGCTGTGATTCCCCATCCATCGATGGGGGAGATGCCATGACCACCAAAAGCCCCCAGGGCTGTGGGTCAGGGACAGGTAGGTTCACGCTCATTCACCTTGCCCCACTCAGTCAGCAGCTCAGGGGTCCTCTCAGTGAGCACATCTAGGTCCCATGGTCCTTTGCTCTGTGCGGGTATGCTGTGTGTTGGTGCTTGACTGATGGGAGTGTGGACAGGTGGATACCAGTCAGGAAACCACTGGGTGAAGATTATCATGGTTATTTGCACACGTGTGATGCGGCCGTGTGACCAGCTGTGTCTGATGTGGGAAGGGAAATGGTGAGAGGACATGAGCGTGATGCAGAGGGTTGTCAGTGCCCGTGTATGGCTGGGATCCAGGGTGTGCATGTACACGTATCTGGTTGGTGGTGCTGTGTGTCTGCGTCCATGATGTGGTATGTGTCCACTGAGTGCTGTCCCCATAGTTGCCTGGGCAGGTGAGGAAGTGCGTTCTTCCCCCAAATGATGTCCTGAGGATAGGGTTGCCCTGTGTGTGTTTGCATGTGCACATGAGCTGGCCTTGGGCTCTTGCTGAGGCTGCGCTGTATCTGAAGTTGACACCTGTTTGTTTGTCCTGTCTGTCTGTGCCGGGCTGGCCCGGTGCCCCTCCCCTGGCAGCTCCAAGTAGCTGGCAGACTGTGGGTAGCCAGCTCGGGCTGCCCTCTGTGTCTCCTGCTCTGTAGGCTAACCTGGCCGTGTGGCTGTCCATGATCGGCCTGGCCCAGTACTACAAAGTGCTGGTGGACAACGGCTATGAGAACATCGACTTTATCACCGACATCACCTGGGAGGACCTGCAGGAGATTGGAATCACCAAGCTGGGTGAGGCCCTGGCCCCCACCACTTTCTGGTCCTTGCCACCCTCCCTGGCCTGACCTGCCCCATGCCCTACTCAGGACACCAGAAGAAGCTGATGCTGGCAGTGAGGAAACTGGCAGAGCTGCAGAAGGCAGAGTATGCCAAGTATGAAGGGGGACCCCTGTGCCAGAAGGCGCCACAGTCGCTTGAAGTGATGGCCATTGAATCGCCACCCCCGCCTGAGGCTGCCCCAGCTGACTGCCAGTCTCCGAAGATGACGACCTTCCAGGACAGCGAGCTCAGTGGTGAGCTGCAGGCTGCTATGACTGGCCCAGCGGAGGGGGCCGCCGCCCCTGCCACTGCCGAGAAGCCTTCCAACCACCTGCCACCCACCCCAAGGGCCTCCGTGCGTCAGGAGCCCAGCCTGGGTGGGCGGGCACGGCACATGAGCAGCTCTCAGGAGCTTCTGGGTGATGAGTTCCCTGGGCCTGGCAGCCCAATGTCAAGGAGCCAGGAGTACCTGCTGGATGAGGGACCAGCCCCTGGTCCTCTGCCTAAGGAGGCTCGGCCCAGCCGCCATGGCCACAGCATCAAGCGGGCCAGTGTGCCCCCAGTGCCTGGCAAGCCACGGCAGGTCCTCCCACCGGGTGCCACTCCCTTCACGCCCCCCCAGACTCCCACTAAAGCCCGGCCAGGTTCCCCTCAGGCCCTGGGGGGGACTCATGGTCCAGCCCCAGCCACAGCCAAGGTGAAGCCCACCCCACAGCTGCTGCCACCAATGGAGCGACCTATGTCGCCCCGTTCACTGCCTCAGTCACCCACACACCGTGGCTTTGCCTATGTGCTGCCCCAGCCTGTGGAGAGTGAGGCAGGGCCAGCTGCTCCTGGGCCCGCACCTGCACCTGTGCCCATGCTGTGTCTGCCCCCTGAGGCCGATGTGGAGCCAGGGAGGCCCAAGAAGCGTGCCCACAGCCTGAATCGCTATGCAGCGTCTGACAGTGAGCCAGAGCGGGATGAGCTGCTGGTGCCAGCTGCCGCAGGGCCCTATGCCACAGTCCAGCGGCGTGTGGGCCGCAGCCACTCAGTGCGGGCGCCTGCTGGTGCCGACAAAAATGTAAACCGCAGCCAGTCCTTTGCTGTTCGGCCCCGAAAGAAGGGTCCGCCACCGCCTCCACCCAAGCGCTCTAGCTCAGCCATGGCTAGCGCCAACCTAGCTGATGAGTCACTACCAGATGCCGAGACCAAGGTGGCTGGGACTGAGGATGGCCATCTGGGGGTCCGGGCACAGCGCCGGCGGGCCAGTGACCTGGCCGGCAGTGTGGACACAGGCAGTGCTGGCAGTGTGAAGAGCATTGCAGCCATGCTTGAGCTATCATCCATTGGGGGTGGGGGCCGGGCAGCCCGTAGGCCCCCTGAGGGCCACCCTACACCTCACCCTGACAGCCTGGAGCCAGGCCGAGTGGCCACAGTGTTGGCCTCAGTGAAGCACAAGGAGGCCATTGGTCCTGATGGAGAAGTGGTGAACCGGCGCCGCACGCTCAGTGGGCCTGTCACAGGACTACTGGCCACTGCCCGTCGGGGGCCTGGGGAACCAGTGGCGCCTGCAGATCATGGCCACTTTGTGGAAGATGGCACTACCCGGCAGCGGCTTCGAGGTCTAGCCAAGGGAGAGGCAAGTGGGGACGGCCCTCCCTTGGCCAGGGTGGAGGCCAGTGCCACACTAAAGAGGCGCATCCGAGCCAAGCAGAGCCAGCAGGAGAATGTCAAGTTCATTCTGACTGAGTCTGACACAGTCAAACGCCGGCCCAAGACCAAGGAGCGGGAGACAGGTCCAGAGCCGCCCCCATCACTGTCTGTGTACCAGAATGGCACGGGCACTGTACGCCGCCGACTGGGCTCTGAGCAGGCTGGACCCCTGGAGCTGCCCCCGCCACCCCCACCTGCCGAGCCACCGCCCTCTGGCCTGATGCACTTGCCCCCGCTGCCCCAACCAGACAGTGATGCCCGGAAGCCAGCCAAGCCACCTGTCTCTCCCAAGCCTGTCCTGGCTCAGCCGGTGCCCAAGATCCAGGGGTCTCCCACGCCTGCCTCCAAGAAGGTGCCGCTGCCAGGTCCTGGCAGCCCAGGTAGGTGAGGGAGCCAGCTGGGGAAGGGCCTCCACCCCACCTTCCCCCTCCGTAGTCTGAGGGGTTTTTTCTCTTGGATTTGATGGCAGCCAGGTGGAATGGGGTGGGAAAGTGTCCTCAGACTCTCATCCATCCACCTATCAGACAGCTATGCCAGCTCAGAGCTGGGAGGAGGGGGTGGCTGGTCCGCAGGTTGCTCAGTGAAGGAGGATTACAGAAACCCATTAATAGTGGCACCTGTGGAGGGAGGACAGGCGCAGGATGCTGGAACGGTCAGGGAGGAGTCTGACCCTGACCCAGCTGGAGAGTGACCCCAGCACAGTAGGGATAGGAGAGGCTTCCAGGCACAAGGGTCAGAGTTGCAAAGGCCCAGTGGCAATCAAGGGAGCCAAGGGCCACACCTGGAGGGGGATAGAGTTGGGGGCGGACCGGGCGGGATTTGGAAGCAGTAGAGAGACCAGGTTTGCATGGGGAAGCACGCCCCACGGAGAGGCGGGCTGGGGGCGGAGGGGCAGCGAAGGGATGCGGCCGGAAGCTGGCCGCAGTTCTGAGGGCCGCATCTCCGCTCCTGGGCGCGAGGCAGGGTTCTGCGGTAGGGCTTGTGCCGGGATGGCCAGCTTGCGCACAGCGTGACCTCCTGCAGCGGTGCGAGTTTCCTCCTCCCCGCAGAAGTGAAGTGTGCTCATGGTACGCCGCCGCCCGTGTCTCCCAAGCCACCGCCGCCGCCTACGGCGCCCAAGCCCGCCAAGGCCGCGGCAGGGCTGCAGTCAGGCAGCGCCAACCCGTCACCCACGCCCTCGCCGGCGCGCCAGCCGCCCTCTGCCCTCGCCAAGCCAGCCAGCACGCCTCCCTCGCTGAGCGCTAGCCCCGCCAAGCCCCCATCTCCCAGCACTCCGGCGCTGCACGTGCCCGCCAAGCCGCCGCGCGCCGCTGTCGCTGCAGCCGCCGCTGCAGCCACTGGGCCCCCAGCCGCGTCCGTGTCCGACGGTGCCTCGCCTGGAGACAGTGCCCGGCAGAAGCTGGAGGAGACCAGCGCGTGCCTGGCGGCGGCGCTGCAAGCAGTAGAAGAAAAGATCCGGCAGGAGGACGCACAGGGCCTACGGTAGGTGTGGGATGGGGTCGGTGTGGGCATGGAAAGCGTCCGCGTGCTGCCCGCCCGGGTCAGTGCACGGGGCTGAGTCGTGCAGGGTGGGGCGTGACTGATGCTTTCAAGGCGTGGCCTTGGACCCACACCTTACTCGGTGGGGTGGGGTCTGGCGTGGGCGGGGTTCGCACGCCACCTCCAGTCTTCTACATTTTGAGGCTGGAATCGAAGGTGGGGTGTGGTCTTCAGCTGGCTCCGCCCATGCTCTACTGGTGTGAACTGAGCGTAGTCTAAGTAGGGGCGGGGCTCTTTTCGCTGGCCCCACTCTGCTCCACTCTACTCACGCTATGCCCACCCCCAGCCCCTCGGCCACGGAGAAGAGCACGGGTAGCATCCTGGATGACATCGGCAGCATGTTTGATGACCTGGCGGACCAACTGGACGCCATGCTGGAGTGACGCGGCCCACGTTGGGCCCGCCCATGCTGTCTGGGCTCCGCCTGCACACTGACCTTTACCTCAGGATGGGCACCTCTGGGCGCGGCCCAAGTGGGCAGGGTAGAGGGCTGAGGGGGGCAGGGTGCAGGGGGCGCCCGCCAGGGCCATGAGGCAGGGGCGGGTCATGCTACCCAGCCCCTGCACAAGCACAACTCCTGCCCCCTGGGCTCAGGCAGGATGCCCAGCTTGGAAAACTGCCTGGCCTAGGGACCCAAGGGCTCTGGACAGATGCTGCTGCCCTGTGGGTGCCCATCCCTGTCTGCTGCTCCCTGTGCAATAACTGCTGGGCCACCTGCCCACCCACCACCAGGCTCTGCCCACTGTGTAGAGAAGGGGCGGCCCCAGGCACCCCTGCCCTGAGTCCAGGCTGGGCCCACCCTGGGAGGTAGTGAGAGGGAGGAAGCCACTGTAGCCCCCTCCCCAATCTGTGGCAGAGCACAGGCCTATGCCCAGCACAGAACTGCCCATTGGGGACCTCTGCCAGCGGCTCTGGCACAGCACAAGGGGCTGGGGTCAGCACCCCTGCCTCATTGTACCCACAGAATATAAGCTATCAAGAGTATTAATTTATTGGGAATGAGCTGAGGCAGATTTCCCCAGAGAAACAAAAAAGGTATAACTTTAACGAATATATATTTAAAGAAAAAAAATATTATTGATCCTATAGAAAACCATTTACCAACTGCAAGGACACTGGAGTCTAGCTTGAGACAAAAGCTGTTAGAGTCCCTGGCCACTGTCTGTCCTTTCTTGCCTCTATCCAGGAGTGGCCAGACCCCTGGCCCAGTAGCACAACAGGAGGGTTCAGTCTGGGGAAGGGTCTGTGCTCCACCAGGGCCTCCCTCTGCTCTCTTTCCTAACTTCTCTGCATCTGAAGAACTCGAAGGATGTGCCTTGCTGCTGGGCTGTGTCCTTCACACCGTGGAGATGATGCAGCGGGCTCCCTTCTCTCTGTGGGGTGCTGCTGTGAACGTCTGCCTGGGTTTCAGGGGAGTTGTACAGTGTGAAGTGGTGGGTTGGCTAGATGACAGCGGCGGGTGCAGGGCATGCATGCCAGGCTGCGTGTGGAGCGTGTGAAGGTGTGCCTGACCCTCCCTCTCCAGGCCCCAAGCAGGCAGTCAGCCCACCCCCACCTGAATTCCTACAGATGCTTCTGCTCATGGTCCAAGGCTGTGTCGTGTGGTTGTTCTCGCCCTTTCTCCCCTCTCCCCCAACCCCTCCAAAAAGTACTGACCAGCCTCCTCTACTGTGTTTGCTGATCCACTTGTGTTGGACACAACTTTGACATCTCTTTAAAAAAAAAATTAAAAATGCCAAAAACCAGCGATTGTGATACAGGTGGGGTGGAGGGGATCGGAAAAGGTGGCATCTGGGAATGTGAGGCCCCTTCCAGTTGTCATGCTGTGTTGCTTCTGGCGGATATACCTGGCCTCTCCTTAGTAGGTGGCCCAGGCTGGGGCTCCAAGCAGGTGAGAAGTGGGGGTCTGGGCAGGAAAGTACTGTCAGCAGTCAATAAACAGCAGAAAATGTCCTGGCTCACTTTTTGGTGGTGTGTGTTGGGAAAATGGGGGGCTAGCCTGTTCTGGCAGGGAGGGGAAGTCACTGTGAGGGCTACATCCTGGGGTGGAGAGACAACAGGAACCCTTTTTGTGGCCCCTCCCCACCCACCTCCCTATGGCTACTGGTGTCTGAGCACACCCAGTATTCTCAGGCAGCCTTCCCCTTACCCCAGAACCATCCCCGCTCACAGCCATAGCCTGCAGTTTTGTTTTCCTTTTTTTTTTTTTTAAGATTTTATTTATTTTTAGAGAGTGGGGAGGGAGAGCAAGAGAGGGAGAGAAACATCAGTAAGAGAGAAACATGGATCAGTTGCTTCTCATATGGAGACGGAACCTGAAACCCAGGCATGTGCCCTGACTGGGAATTGAACTGGCGACCTTTCACTTTGCGGGATGATGCCCAACCAACTGAGCCACACCGGTCAGAGCTGTGCAGCTTTTATTTCAATCAGGAAGTTATCAAATCTATGTACAGTCTAAAAACAATAGAAAAGTTGAGTAAAAAGGCCCTGTAGTCCATCAGGAATGGGGATGGAGGGTGGACTGGGCGAGCATTATACCTGGAGTGTAGAAAGAGGGGCTGGGCACTGTCCTAGCAGCAATGATGACAGAGCCAGGCAGAGAGGGACGCTCACCAGGTGCAGGATCGGGAGGGCACCGCGCGGCCAGCTGAGCCTGCCTGCCTGCCTAACCCCAAATGGGCAGGCAGGGACTCTGATACCACCCATGTGGCCAGCCTGGCGTGGAGAGGCTTAGGGTGGGCCCAGAAGACACCAAGACCTGGCCTGTGTTCTGTCAGCAAGTCCAAACCTGCAGAGGAAGGTTCTGTTTCAGGTGCCCCTTTGGCCATCCTGATGCCATTCATACCTGTCCTCTACTGTCACCTGCCCAGGGTTGCTGCCTCCTCACCCCCAACCCTTGCTCCGTATGTGCAGCCAGCCTCTTTGGATGACCCGAGCCAAGGCACTGACCTTCACAGTGCTGTCCACAGCCCCCGAGAAGAGCCGGCCCCGGGACACGGCCAATGCGGTTACACTGCCCTGGTGACGCAGCAGGGTCTGTGTGCATATCATGTTGTCCATACTCCACACCTAGGGGCACATGAGATGTGAGGACCTGCCCAGGCCTGGCAACTCACTCTGAGCTTCCCACTGTCACCAGGCCAGCACAGACCCTGAGAGACCGATCATAGGATGCGCTGAAGACTTTGGTCTGGTCTGGTGTCGAGATGACTGCCAAGGCATACACAGTGCCGACGTGGCCTGTCAGGGTTCGCACCTGCTCCTTGGACTCGATGTCCCACACCTGGGGTGATGGCATAGGCAGGTCAGAGACACAGATGGTGGGGACAGGGGTCCAGAGTCAGGCCCTGCCCCTAGGTGTCCACCCTTACGTGGATGAGGTTCTCGTAGGTGCCACAAACAATGTGGTGATTTGTCACGGCGATAGAGTATACGCTGCCACCAGATGTCTGCAGGACATGGATGCAGTCGAGGGTCCGGATGTCCCAGATCTATAGGCAAGTGCCGGCCACTTGGTTCCAGGTCAGGTGCCTTGTGTCCAAGACCTCAGGGGCTTCAGACACCATGGGCAGCCCACCGACCACCCAAGGTGTGTGTGAGGGTCTCCCTGCCCAGGCGGGAAGGAGGCAGGGCAGTGCTCATACAGGGAGGGGAGCTGCCACTGGGAGTGTGGTACACAAGTACCTTGATTGTCTGGTAGGAGCCACTGTACAGGTAGCTCTGGGCAGCCACAAGGGCCCGCACCCAGTGGTTGAGGCCCGTTAGCTCCTTCTTCAGCTTCAGCTCAGTGCCCACAATGTCCCAGACCTGCGGGGACGGCTGTGAATATGGGCTGGGCGGCCAGGCATCTAGCACCCCAATGCCTGGCGCATGCACACACACCACCTTGCCTGACCTTGATGGCCTTCAGGGAGCCACTGAAAAGCATGTTGTGCGAGGAGACTAGCGTGCACACTGGGTTGTCATGGGCCCGGATTGTGTTCACTTTCTGCAGGTTCTGGATATCCCACACCTGGCAGTGGGAAGACAGGAAGCCTCAGGCACCAGCCCTGCTGCCGTGAGCCCGGGCCCCAGTGGCACAGTGTGCCTGGGGCTCCCAGATACTGATGTGGCCTGGCCCTCCCGAAGGCCCCACTCACAATGATGGTGCAGTCTGCTGAGCCGCTGTAGAGCTTGCACCTGGGGAAGCAAAGCTAAGGTGTCAGGGCCGGAGACGCCACCATCCTCACTGACATTGCCCTGCAGGCTGAGGTAGCGCTGGCCACCAGGAATCAGCAGCTTGGGGCAGTGCCAAGGCCACTGCTGCTTCTTCAAGCCCAGCCTCAGTATTCCTGTCTCAGTGAGGGGACGTTGGAAGTGGAGGCCCAAACTCTGGTGCTTCTGTGGCAAGTGTCTGACAGATGAGCTAGGTGGTCATTACCTAGTTAGTGCTGCTGGCAGTGAGGCTGCTGCTTCCTGCAAATCCCCCGCCCCACACACTCATGCCCACAACACAACACCTGACATAAGACGGGGGGAGAAGGTCTAGAAGGAACCACCACGGGGGCAAGGAGGTAGGTAGGCCAGCTCCTCTGTGGTCCTGTCCCCAAGCTATGCCCAGGCCAATGACAGCTGCGCTCCTGCTTCCAGTCTGTGATGTCCCATCTCTGTTGTCTGGCTGCCTGAGGCACTCTAGGGCCAGGGCTAGGCTTTGTGAATGTGCAACATCAGAGATGGAGGACCCACTTGCTACCACCCGAGACGCCACCCTGCTCAAGATCACAAGTGCCTCACAGGAGGAGAGAGAGACAGGCACATTTCGACATGTGGCTACAAAGGCTTGAGCTCACAACCCATGGGGCAGCAGCATGGGGTCTCATGTCCCCGGCTCCACGTGGGCCCCTGTGGTCAGTGGATCTACACACATGCTTACACTCACCCCTGGATGCAGAGTGCCAGCACGATGCCATCATGGCCCTCCAGCGTCTTCTGGCACTTATAGGTGGTACATGTGTCCCACACCTGCAGAGACCAGAGGCAGGGTGGGTCCCAGCAAGATCAGTCAGGTGCCAGGGGTGGAATGGTGGGAATGAGGAAGCAAGCCATCCTCAGGGACAAAGCCCTGCCTATGGGAGGAAGGCCCACCCATGGGCAGTACCCTACCCACCTTGATGGTCTTGTCAGAGGAGCCACTGAAAAGCAGGTCCCCCATGGAGTAAACACAGAGACACCAGACGGGGCCCTGGTGGCCCACGAAGGTTCCTTTGCACTTGAAGATCTGCTGAGGGTCATAGGCTGCAGAGACAGGAGGAGCTGGTAAGGGACAGGGGGCCCCTTGCGGACAGTGGTGGGAGCAGCAGTGGGCCCATACTCACATCCTAGAATGCCCATGTTCAGCCGTGCATTGATGTGGGACAGCTCATCCTGCAAGGCCAAGAGCAGAGGGCATGGTGGATGTGGCTTCACAATCCCCCTGCCCGCCAGCCTGAGCTCGGCGGGGGCGGGGCAGGTGCAGCTGCAGCCCTCCACAGCACAGACACCTAATCCTGAGCAGGGCAAGCGACCTGCTGGAGCCCAACCAGAGGGACAGTCCTGGGTCCCCCACCCCACCCCACCCCACCTCCCTGCACGTGTCCCCGGCCCGCTCACATTCAACATGGATGCATCCCTGCGGAACTCCATGAGGTCCTCGCTTAGCTTGCTCTGGTTTTCATCCAGGACATCTGAGTGGCAGGGGAGAAGGTGTCAGGGACCAGGAAGAGGAGCTGCACCCCCACCCCCTCTGAACCGGGCTCTCACCGAACTTGAGCTCCAGGCTCTTCTCCAGCTGGTCAATCTTCTCTGAGAGCTTGCCTAGCATGGAGCGCAGGAAGGCAATTTCCTGGTCCTTCTGAGCCAGCGCCACATGCATCTCATGGAAGCGGTCATCTGTCTGCTGCAGGAACTCCTTCAGGCCCTCAAAGCGGCAGGTCTCCAGGTGCGTCTCATATGTGTCCTGGTTCCCAATGAACGTGCACCTGGAGGGACACGACGGCTGCCTGTCCCCTTGCTCACCAGCCCACAGAGCAGGACCCTTCTTCTGCCTCCTCAACCCCAAGAATCTCTCTCAAATCCCACTTTGGGGCCCATGGCACCCCAGATGGGCCTCCACACCTCCAGCCTCCACACATGCATGCCTGCCCATCTATCCTGCTCCCACCAGCATGCAGCAGGCCACTCTGCAAGGGGTACCCAATCATTTTGCTCCTGCTCAAAACTCTTCAAGGGCTCCACCACACCCCTCATCAGCCTGCCTCTTTTCCCACCCTACCTCCCATCTGCTCTCAACTCTGGCCAGTTGCTCAAGTCCACCCCTGCTGGTCCAGCTGTCAGAAGCCCTTGCCCTGGTTTTTGCCTGGCTCATGCCCAAACATTCATTAGTTCTCGTCTCATGCCTTCCCCGACCACTCCCAGCTCCCCAACCGCTCTGACCCCTCGGTGTTCCCATGGGGCTCAGGTCTCTTCCTTGCAGCACCTGTACCTCGGTTTATAATTACATAGTCGACGATGTGGCTCCCGCTAAGGTCCATCTCCCCAGGGACCCTGGCTGTCTCCCCAGTGCCCGGCACACAGGTGGATCTCAACAAAGGTTTGCTGAAGGAGGGACGGTGAATTCCAGCCCAGGCCCACCCGCCCTCCTGCCTGCCCGCCCCTGCCCCAGGGCAGCCCCCTGGAGCCCACCCCCGCCCACTCACCCGTACTTGGAGTGGGGACACTTGATGTGCTCGCACTCCTTGAGATGGGCCTCCAGGTTCATCTTGAGAAGGGGTGGGCAGTTTGGGTTGTTGGGGCACCGCACAGGCCTGTAGTCACAGCTGCTCTCGTGGTCCCTGTGAGAGGGAAGACGCAGAACAGGCTGAGTCCCCAGAGGCATGGTCTTTTAGCACCCCTGATCAGGGGAGAACTGGGGGCTAAGGGGGGCACTTACTTCCGGGCACTGAGCTTTATGGTGAAGGGGCAGCCTCGGGGGTCCACCTCAAAGACAGTGGGCTTCCCGACCCCTGCTGCCCGACAGCCATGCCTGCAGTGGATGGAGAGCTCCCCAATCTGCTCGGCCACGGCAATGTTGTTCACCACCACCGTCAGCTTGGCGTTGTCCACAGGACACTTCTCTGGAGGGGAGGGCATGCTGACCCCATGGCCCACTCGGCCAGCCCCTCCCCTGGCAGCTCTGTTCCCTGGTGAGCGGCCTGGAACCTGCTCCCGCGGCTGGTGGGCTAAGCCTCTGTCAGGGGCTTGATCCACCTGTCCACCTGCTCCTCTGAGGTGCCCAGAATAGGAAGGGGTGCGTGACCAGGCCACCAAGAATGACTGCTGGATGAGGCCTCTCGGCTGACCCAAGATTGCAGGACAGAGCCAAGAGGGCTGGGGCTAGAGCAGGAGGGGACCCAGCCCTGGTCCCGGCAAGGGTGCCTGGATGCTACTAAAGCATGAGACTGCAAGGCAGCAGCCTGGACAGTGAGGACAGCCTCCACCAGGGAGAGCAGGTGTGGGGCCTGGGAATCCCCGAGTCGTAGGTCTTACTGCTCTGCTTGTCAGCGTCTTGAGCCTGGCCCAAGCGTACCTACGGGCCACTGCCACCCACAGCACAGACGCTTTGTGCAGGACTAGGGAGAAGCTGCCATGCAGCCAGGGGCATAATCAGTGCTGGGCCTGGGCCGGGACCTCCCTGGAGGGGCCACCCCGCCAGCTGGGAAACAAGGTGGCCAGGCCTGGGCCTGAAAGGGCCCTACCTGACTTTAAGGCGCATCTTCGACAGAATGTATGCTGTGGAGACAATGGATAAAGTTGGGGCACAGCCACAGCCACCAACCCGTGTCCACAGCGGAGGGCACCTGCTGGGTAGCCAGGCCAGGCCTCCGGCTCCACATGAATGGAGCTGGCAGCCCACCCGGCCCTGAGGTGGTGCATAGGTCAGGCGGGGGACAGGCGGCCTCACCCCACATGTGGTGATCACAGGGTCCTTGAACACGCCGCAGCAGAGCTGGCAGCACAGCTTCACCGAGAGCTGCTCAGCGAATACCAGTGGCTCCTAGAACCAGGCAGGGCAAGTGAGGGTGGGCCCAGGGGTGCTGAAGTGGGTGGGGGGAACCCAGCCCCTCCCCCTACAGGCCTGGGCTGCCCTCAAGGGTGGGGGCACCTCAGCTGGGGTGTGTCCCAAGGAATCTGCCAAGGCTGAGTGCTGGGCCCGAACCTGAGGGGGGCCAAGCATGGAGGACCCCTCCAGGTATGCCCTTGGCCTGCCAGCACCTACCCTCTACCTGGTATGGCAACAAGAAAGGGCCCCGCACAGGCCCCTGCGGTGCGGAGTAGGAAGAACATGCCTAGGGGACCTAGCCTGGGGTCCTGATGTGGACCAGAGATGAGGGGCTCTCACCAGGCCTGTCTACTCCCTCACTGTGCCCAGGGGGTAAGTGCCCCCCGCCACTGCCACAGCACAGTGAGGATCCCTTGGAGTCATCCATGCTGAGCCCACCCTGTGGCCACCACACCTACCGGCTCCTCCTCCTCCTCGGGCAGCGAGAATGTGGAGCGCAGGGACATGCTGGACTCGGAGTGCAGGGAGCGGACGGAGATGGCCGAGTCAGAGCGGCGTGGGGTGCTGATGGGGGGCTGCAGCGTGGAGACGGGCGCCCGTCAGCCCGGGGGAGGGCGGAGCCAAGCCCCTGTGAGCACTGAGGGCGGTGGGCCCCCAGGGCCACCCCATCCTAGTGGGCGCTCACTCAGGCTGCAGGGGCCATGGTGTGTGTATGGGGAGCTGGTGCAATGCCCGGACCCGCTCCTTTCCAGCGATCCAGGTCCTGTTGGGCCACCCACTCACGCCTGCCAACTTTCTTTGTGTAAATGGAGAGACTTCCTGCTATTCAATTCTGTGAGGACACACTAGGCCTGCTTCCTGCTTCCCGTTAGGGAATGTGGGCTGCAGACGGGGCATCTCCAGCAGCCAATCCCAGAGCAGTCACAGCCCCGGACTGCTGGAGTGAAGGGAATGAAGGCTGGCCGGAAGAAGTTCCAGGTACCCGCTAGGCTCAGCTGCCTGCCTGGCCTCCCAGGCCTCCCTGGCTGGGAACACTGAGCCAGGCCAGTGAGACTCCCGGGGAAGGAAGAAACACACCCACTGAACCCTGGCCAGGTTTCTGAGTGCAGAAGGGACAGCCACGGGTGCCTGCCTCTGCCAGAGCCACCAAAAATGAGATTTGGGGGAATCTTGGGGTGGGGAGCTGTCCCTTCCTCCCCTCTAGGCCTGGAACGCTCCAGGAGCGGTCCTTCAAGAGCCATTGCTCTCACACTCCTCCCTTCATGCTCAGAAGCCTCATTCATAAGCCACAAACCCTCCTGTCCCAGCTGCTCTGGGGCCCAACTGCCTCTGAGCCTCTGTGGGGGTGGGGGCAGCTGGAACCATCCCCTCCCCACTGGCTCAGGGTGTTGGACTTGCCAGAGGGTACAAGGAGGATTGGCCGCGTGGTGCCAGCTCTGCACAGAGGCCTGGCCTGTTCCGAGGCCCACCTTTCCCAAGCAAGGGTAGCAGAGACCCCTGTGTCCCTCGTGTGCCTACAGACAGCACTTCCCTCACCGGTGCTGTGCCCACCTCCCTTCACAGAGTTCCAAGTAGCGAGTCTGCATAGAAACACTACATGAGAAACAAGGGGCAAGTCAGAGGAAGTGAGTCAAACCACCCCACAGGCAGCAGGGGAAACCAGAGGGCAAGAGCAGGTCCAGACAGGAGCTGGGCTAAGCAAGCCAGGCCTGGCCTGGCTCCACTTTCCCCTGCCTGCCCGCCCACCCGCCCTCCTGAGCAAAGGGGCTGACATCGTCAGGAACCCAGGGCAGATAGAGGGGCAGCTTCCAGGGGCCCAGCAGCCAACAGAGAAGAGAAAATGCCCAGGCGGCCATGGCCTCAGGGCCTTCACAGCACATTTCAAGGCCTTCACAGCACATTTCCCCTTCCTTCAAGCTACAAAGCGCCAGATTCACAACCACACACACAGAGAAGTCGCTTCAATGGAGGCCCCGGTGGGAGGGTGGGCCTTCTAATTCCAATCACACTTCCATGGCCAGTCAGAGGTTGTGGAGACTGAGGCAGGAAGAACTGGGAGAGGGGGGCAAGTTGTGTCACTTGTCCTTACGGAAGGCCAAGAGCAGGTGAACGTGTCTGTTCAAATAATTGAAAAACTGTTTTCTTCCTATTAAATAGGAAATAAAGGCCTGGCATCCCAGCGTAAGGAGAAGTCTTTGCCCTGAGAGGCTAGGAGAGTAGGAAAACCAGGAGTTTGTCAGGGGCCACCACCAAGGGAAAGCGGAAAGCAGGGCACAGAACAGGTCAGCGGCAGGAGGGCTCAAGTGCACTCGTGTGCCCCCTGCCTCCAGCTGAACCAGTCCTTGCTTCCCCACGCAGGGCCGGAGCCCAGCAACGAGTGCCGATCGACAGGCAGGGCGGGTCCACTATGACCCCAGCCATGTGGCCTGGGCACTGACAGCGAGCCCCAACTCTGCCTTGAACCCTTTTCTCACTCTGCAGGCCCGTCCTTTCCCCATCGGCTGGGGCCCATCTCCCTCATCAGGAGCCCCTCCTCAGGCCTCTTGCTGCTCCCTGGCAACCCACCCGTCATCCTCTAACCAGGCAGCACAGAGCCTCAAAAAATGGGGACTCTTCCTGACTGAACTTTCTGTGGCTCCCACCCACCCAAGATGGAGCCAAATGCACCACACCCTCTGGCCCCGCAGTCCCTGATGGTCACCTCCCCATGCAATCCAGCCTTGGTGCTCAGGCCTCAGACTGTCTGCACGTGCCAGCTGTCTGTCCCAGCGACTACTTCCCGCTACAGACTATAGCTCAAGGCTGTGCATCCTATCTTCATCCTCCCGGGACCGGGGCCTGGAGGCCAAGGCATGGTGGGAGGCTCCTGTGAGGTGGGGATGGGTGAGCATGACCCAGACCTACCATGCTATCCTCCTCGTCCCGAGGGGAGTAGGCAAGGGTGCTGGAAGAGGAGGGCGTCCTGCGGTGCTGTTTGTATGTGCTGGTCCCATCCGCTGCCAAGAAAAGAGGGCCAGGGTGCTGTGACTGTGGGCGACAGGGGGAAGCCTGACGTGTCGTGGTGAACAGTGGGCCAGACACTGGGCTGAACATCTGGCTAGTCCTCTCTAGGAAGCCTCCTTATCCATGCTGGTTCGCACTGCCTCCTTCTGGATTTGACGGCTACTTGGCTGGGGCTGGGCTGGGGGGAAACTGGAAAATACCTCATCCTCAGCAGGTGCCTAAGCAGGGCACAGCATGAACTGGCCCCGTGCCTCCAGCGAGAGCCCTGGCCTGCTCTGCGGACCATCACTACCTCTCAGCCCTCCCCAGTGTCGAGGCAGGTGGAAAGTGCGCAGGGCCCAGTGGTCTCCCCAGGTCTAATCACTAGAACTCTGCCACGGGGCTTGGCTTGCCCTGGACAGTCCTAGGGCTGAGCCCTGCAGCCCCCAGGCAGGCAGGCAGGCAGGCAGGCAGGCTGGGGGCGCTGGTGGAGGGGTCTTCTCTCAGCCTCTACAACTAGCTCCCAGCACCCAGCCCGACCCCTGGGCCACTTTGCCCAGCTGAGGCTTGAGGCCAACACCTGAGTGATTACACCTAAGGTCACCTGGCAGGAGCTAGGACATCATCTTATCTAACCCTCGAAGTGACCCTGCCAGGTGGGTTCTCTGGTAGCCTCAGTCCATAGAGGAAACTGAGGCAAGGAGAGCTCTGAAGCCCTCAGCTGGCACATGGAGGCCAAGATGGCAATCTGGTGCTCTAGGGTCACTCGTTTCCCACCTCCTACCCCGGCTCACCCACAACGCCGGACCTGGCCACTGGCCACCTTGCGGCCTCCGGGGAAGGCTGCTGGAAGCTCATGCCCTTCTCCTACTGTCCCTCAGCCTGGCTGCCAGAACCTTGGAGTGGCTTCCACTGGCCTCAGGCCCCAGCCAGGGCCAGATGTCACAAAAACCAGCTCCAGAGGCCTGGATTTAGAAGACAGGCTTCAATAGGCTATCCTGAGAAGCCGAACAAGGCAACTGTTCATGCGCGGTTCTGCCCTATCCCTACCACCAAGGGGGTCGCTCAGTGGAACAAGGGCATGATGGGCCCATCAATCACTGCCTGGGAGCTTTCAACTGCTATGACAAGGTTTTGCCCTCTCTACAGGTAGATGAGGAATTAAGAGAGTTTCTTGGGCCCTGGCCAGGTGGCTCAGTTGGTTGGAGCATCGTCCAGTAGACCAAAAGTTTGCGGATTCGATCCTCGTTGGGGCACGTATGGGAGGCAACCGATCAATATTTCTTTCTCATATCAATGTTTCTCTCTCCCCCTTCCTCTCTCTAAAATCAATAAAACATACCCTCAGGTGAGGATGCAAACAAAAAGAAAGTTACTTGGGTGATAAGATTAGAAATGATATTTATTTATTTTCCCCTCAGGAAAAAATATCTAAGAACAAAAAGAGGGCTCTTTCAGAGCCCCTGAGGGTGTGACCCAGCAACAAAGAGGAGCTGGTGTGAACAGGTGTGCAGTGGCCCCAAGACCGTACTGCCACATGCATCCAGAGGGAACCGGGGAAAAGAAATTTAAAAACCAATCAGCAGCTGGTATGCTCCTATGAGGAGCTGAGTGCCAAAAAAGGCAAATGAAAAAACTGCCCTCAGACCCTGGCACTCACAGGATGGGCCCGCTGCCCCCAAGACTTTGGGAAGGAGACCATGCCCTCACGACCCCCCTGGATACACATCACTGGAGCCACAGCTGTGGGACCAGACTTGAGAAAGGATCCCATGAGCACTTCTTATTCCCTATCCATGCCCACACAGTTCCCAGGCCCAAATTTGGAGGCTGCTAGGAACCTGGGGCAGGGATGAGTGGGGGTCGCTGTGACAAGGGACAGGGGTGCATGGGGTGCTGGGGAAGTTGCAACAGCCCTCCCTGGAGAGGTGATGAGCAAGGTGCCACAATGAAGGGGAAAGGGGAGGCTGGGGTGGGGAAGAAGGACACGGTGGCAAGAGCAGAGCCACAGAGAGCAGGACCGCACGCAGACTCCTGCCTGGCTGGCGGGGTACGGGGAGCTGCTGAACTGAGCTGCCTTCTGTCCAGTGCCAGCTCCCACTCCCCACCCCACCAAGAAGGGTCCCACAGGCCCTGGGAGAGTTAACGGTGCCCAGATTCTGCCTCGCTGGGCTGGCCTGGGCTCACAGGCTCACCTTTGGTGATAGTGGTGACAGCCGAAAAGGCAGGCCCGAAGGTCGTTTCCATTCTGGTCTGGAAAAAGAACTGATGAGACTTGGCCTTGACTCCAGAGGATATGGACCCACGTGAACATGCACTGACATGCTTTCACACTAACACACCATGTGTGTGTATCACAGCCCACCCACAGGACCTCCAGGTAGGGACAGGACCGCTCTAGAAGCTCTGCCGGGGGACCCTGGACCTGTGGGGTGTGCATGAAGGGCACAGCCTTACCCACAGGCTGCCCCTTACCCCGGTGGTGATGTCTGGGGTGGGAAGATTGGTAGGTCCACCAGAGAAGCGGTTGTACCAGGCGCTTTTGCCCGAGCTCATGCTCTAGAGGGGCATCTAGGATCCTTCGGCAGCGTCTCCTGTGGGTGGAACACAAAGAGGGACTTTAGAGATGCTGGTCAGGCCACTGTCAGCTGGCCGGGGCCGCTCCCACGGCAGGCCTGCTCTGGCCAGTCCACCACCGGGCACATTTCCGCCTCTCCATCGCCAGTACCAACAAGGGCAGGCCCACTTGGGCAAAGTGTCTCCCCCTCCCTCCCATCCCAGGTGTGACAGGCCTGAGGAAGGGAGGAGGCCCTGGGTGCAGGCAGGAAACTGGTGCTCAGCTTCACCTTCCGTGAAGGCTTAACGCTTTGGAAACGCCCAGCTCAAACCCAGAGGTGGAGAGCCATTCCACCCATGTTCTCTCCGTTCCTCTGGGTCCGAGGGCCAAATGTCCCTGGGGCCAAGGCTGGGCACACACAGAGTGACCAAGTTACCTGCTTATTTCCTGCCACAATGGCAGACATGGCAGAGACACTGGCCACACCTTAGAGAACCTATTGGGTGGCGCACCTGGAGTCTGCCTCCTCACAAACCTCATCACATACGGGAAGCCCCTTGTGGGCAAGACGAGGCACCAAGACAGAGGACCTGACTCTTCACCCTCCACAGGTCACCCAGCCCGGAAACACAGGCTGCCTCCTTCCTCCGACTGTGTGACTCAGGTCTTGGGTTGATGGCAGGGAGAAGGCATAGTGAGAATCATCCCCGGCCTCCAACCACTCCAACCCTCTGAAGAGAGGGGCTAGGGTGGCCCAGGAGCACCGACCAGACCCAGGTGTGCCGTAGGTGAGGGAAGAGATTAGAGACACTGAGGACAGCTGGAAGAGCTGCTCTACCGCCTGACGGTGCCCACCCTCCGGTGGCCCTATCAGCAGGTGCCCCTCCAGTGGTCTTGCCACTGTCAGGACTCACAGCAGGCGGTTGCCACGGGCCCCGTCTGCCCCCTACCGTGGCGGAGCTGGCCGTGTTGAACTACAAGGCCCAGGCTTGAAGCTGGGCTCCCTGTGGGGAGGGAGGCCAGGCTCATCTTACTCCCAGTGGAGCCATGGGAGGTCGGGGACACCCCTGTGGTCTAGAAGCACCATAGGACTAGGAAGGCTTCTAGAAGGCAGAAGGCTGCTGAGCCCCCACACTGTGGGAGAAGGTGGGAGATGCTCTCTGCCCCATCCTGAAGTGAATACGGCATGGAGGGCGACAGCACAGTCCAACCAGTTCTGGCACCTTCTCCCTCAGGCTCTCCTGACCTGGCTTATCTGGCCATGTTCCCTCCCCCGAACCCCCCCAGCAATAGTGTGCTGAGGTCTACCCAGTGGTCCCACAACCCAGTCTACGGGTCTGCAGGGACGGGCTGGCTCCTGAGCCCTGTGCCTCCACACTGCTCATGAGATGTCCCTAATGTCTCCTTGCCCCTCTCTCCCTACCTGCTCCTTCAGATGCCACCTGCAATACCACTCTCCTAGCCTTCATGACTCAGTCCTCATTGGGACGGCTCTCAAGCCCTGCAGTTCGCATTGCTGGCAGGCACCACCCCTGTGCTGTGCTCCAACTGCCCTTCAGGTCCAGCTAAAAGGGGTGCCCAAGAGCTTGGCCAAAGTCTCCCCATCCTATCCACCACTCCCTCTGCTATGACTCGAGGGGCTTGGCTGTGTGCCCCAGACCAGACTGCCTGGTGGCTTGTCCTCTAGAGGAAAGACAGTCTCCAGAGAGTGGGCAATCCCAGGCCCTCAGGCAGAGGGGTGAATGTAGCATGCTCAGAAGCCTCACCTCCAGCACCGCCGCTGGTTTCCATACTAGGCAGGAAGTCTCGGGGGCCGCCCTGCTTGGGCGATACCTGGCCACGGTGAGGTCTGGGCAGCATGAAACAGGAGCTCCAGGACTCACCCAGCAGCAGGAAAGGTTCCACCCTCTCAGGAAACCCAAGGTTGGCTGCTGTCTCAGCACCACAAGGCAGGGAGGAGGCTGGGGACTCACAGGGCGAGCATTGCTGACACAGACCTGCATCTTACAATCCATCTGCTCCCTCCACTGCAAGTTCCCAGGGCCAAGAGGCCAGATGATGGCTCCAGTGAACAGTGCCCAAGGTCCAGGGCCAGGACTCCAATAGGCACTCCCCCTCTGACCACAGCCAGCACACCAGCTCCTGTGAGTCCAGCGTGTCCAAGTGCCTGTCACTGCAGTCTGGGATAGCAGGCGTCTGGCTGTCCCTCACTATGAAGTGAAGTAAACAGAAAGGCATGCAGGGCTCGCAGGGCAATCGGCTGGAAAGTCCTGGGAGGCCAAGAGCGGCCAGGTCCACAGCCCTGACACACGTGTTGTGGAGGACCTATAAGGCTGGTCCACAAGTCAAGCTGAGCCAGGAAAGGAGGGAGGGAACCATTTTGGCATTCACACGGGCTCAGCCAGGGACAGGGTGGGCAGGACCTGGGGCTGGGATCCAGCACCCCCTCATCTGTGTGCCCCGCCCCGAACAACGATTGCTTGCTCAGCATCTCAGAATTGAGCAAGATGCTCTCAGCCCAGTTCCCCAAGGGCTGCATTTTGCAATAACAGTCTTCCTGTTACGGTATCTTCTGGTCCTGCAGGCCAAAATCCCAGCTACAGGGATGCTGGGCCCAGCTCTACTGGGGATGTGCCCTGGATCCCCAGAGCAGTCGGCCTCTTCCCTACCCCACAGTCAGCCTGAGGGTCTCAGGCTGTCAGGAAATTGTCAACTATGGCAAGAACCCTCACTTGTCTGAGGGCCTGGCTTCTCCCAAACTGGGAAAAGCCTTGGGCTGGGCAGGCCAGGAAGACCTCGGTGGGGGTGGGAGGAGGAGAAAAGGTTTTCCTCCCCTCAGCTCCCTCCAAGTCCCCACCCTGCCTACTCCCAGGGGCCTAGGGGAGCCCATGAAAGGGGCCCACGGGTCTCTGCCCTTGTCTGTATCTAAGGGTTCCAGGGCTGTGGGCCTTCCAGGGCCCTGGGGTGCGTTCCCTGTTCAATGAGGAACTGAAGAGCCACATGCAATGCTCTAGCTCCTCTTTAGGAAACACCCACCCGATCCTGTCTCTGAGCAGTCTGCATGGGAGGGCAGTCCAGCTAGTTGGGAACCCCTCCCCAATCCACTGCCCTGGAGAAAGTCCAGGATCTGCTGCCCCTACTTTCCCTTGGGAAACACCCAGAGGGGTTGTGGATCAGGCTAGCTGGAGTTCCTATCCACGTGGGCCCTGTGGCTAGCAGCCAGTGGAGTGTGTGGCTCAAGCTGGCCATGCTGAAGTCAGGGGCAGTGGGCTGGCCAGATGCAGGTCTCCATTAGAGCCAAGCCCTGCTTCGAGGCAGCTCTTCCAGCACCTCCAGACCTTTGCACATCCTGCTCCCTCCGTTTGGCATGCTCTTTCAGCAACTTCTAGGATAGTCTGCTTGCTGTAGGTCCCCCCACCCCACCCCACCCCAAGCCTTTCAGGAGCCTCCAGTACTTCCTTTCTTAGCGCCCTGTTTCTTTCATAGCACCTACCACAATTCCTCATAATTTTGTCTGTATATTGTCAGCCCTTCCTCCATCTAGATCATCGGTTCTTAAGGTTGGGGAGGATTTTGTCCCCCAGGAGACGTTTGGCAACGTCTGGAGACATTTTTGGTTGTCACAGCGGGGGTGGGGGGGGGACGGGGAAAGTTACTGGTATCTACTAGGTAGAGACCAGGGATGCTTCTCAACATCCTACAAGGCACAGCAGGGAATGATTAACCCTGAATGTCAACAGTAGGGAGGCTGAGAAATCCCACGCCAAAAGAGCCTATGAGAACTGGGATCTTGGTCTTCGCAGTCTCCGGGCGCCTAAAACAGTGCCCGCCACCCCGGCCGCGCTCAATAAACACAAGAAGAAGGAATGAATAAAAAGGAAGAGAAAGAATAGAGCGAGCAAGGAGCCAGGTGACAGGCAGAGGGACAGGAGCAGAGACCCCGTTTCGTCTCAGCCCCGCCCCCCAAGGCTCAACCCCTCCCCGGACCCCGAAGCACCCAGCCTCCGCCCCACCGCGCGGCCCCGAGGCGCGAGGCCCCGGCCGGGCGCGCCGCGCGGACACTCACCCGCCCGCGGCCGCCCGGGAGTGGCAGCACCACCCTCCCTCTTCATCGTGCCCCCACGGCCGCCGGCTGGGAAAGGGACAGGACGCGGGAGCCGGAAGTGCTGAGACGCCGAGCCCATCGGGATTTGTAGTTCTCCGGCTCTCTCGTTGCCCGGGAGGCTGTCCCAAGCGCGACTCCTCAGAGACTACGACTTCCGGCGACGCCACTGTCGCGGGGCTGGATTGGCAGCCTCAGAATCACTCTATGTTGCAGATCGGAGCCTAATTGGCTCTGTGCATCCGTCGCTCACAGGTTTAATGGCCTCTACAAAAAGCGATATCGCCCCCAAAAGAAATGCCATGGTGCGGTTGGTGAAATCAACAGGAGTAGAGAGCGACGAGCGGAGTGTGTCAGCGGCGGGGGCGGGTATCCTGACGGGATTACCCAATCGCAGAGGAGGGGACGTTTCTATAAAAGCTTGAACCTCGCTTGTTCTCTTCCTTTCGGATCAAGTACAAGACTGGAAGTTGCGTGTTCTTTGGTCTCTGTGTGCCATACCTGGAGAGGAGCTGGGCACGTAGTGAAGCTGAGAAGGTCGCCTAAACCCACAGGCCGGCGTAGCCCTGGGGTCCAGCCTCAGCCTGAGCTTCACTGTGGTCCTCAATGTTATACATGTTTCTTGTCCATTCTCCATCCCCCAAGTTCCGGCGGGGAAGTCCGAACCTCCAGACCTATAGCTCACTACAGGTAAGAGTGGGCCAGACCTGGCTTCCCCGATGCCTCTTCCAGCCTATGATGAATTGCTTTAATTTCTGACACCTCGTATGAAAACTGCACGTGCAGTCTGATTATTTTTGCAAGACTGAGGCTTCAGGGTGACCCCCATTGACGGGTGGGTTTTGAGGGTAAAAACAAATGGGGACAGTGGGTTTCTGTACATTTCTGTACTGTCTGCCTTTCAGGGCCGTTGGTGACCTGGTTGGAGACCTTGAGTGTAAATGAACATCAGTCAGGCCAGGGAGCTGGTGGTAAGGCTGGAGTAGTCCCTATCTACAATACTTGAACTGCTTAGCAATAAAGCAAAGGTGGTAAGAATTTATTGTAGTGCAAGAGTCTTTATTTTCACACCATGGGACTCTGTAAGGACTGGTTTATACCTGGGCAACCTTGGGAAAGACTACAGGCATAGAAATGGAAATTCATACTTCCCAACTACTGAGGCAATCTCCATTTTGTTTATAAGGCAAAAAGAAAAAAAAAAGTTCTTTGTGCTTTTGCCCTAGGGTGGGTCATGAAATCTTAATTCCTCACTAACATGATTAATTGGCCCCAAGTGCTTTCTTGTGTCCTCGGAGGGAAGTTGAGTTGACTGCTCAGGTCACCACGTGCTCCTTGGACAGCGCTGTGTGTCCAGGCAGCCCTGCTTTTATTTTTTTGCCAGCCTGGTTATGAGGAGTACCACCCTCTTAGTGTTGAAGTCAGGACCTGGGCTTTGCCGAGAGCTCTAAAAGGTGATTTCAATGGATGACAAAGGCATTCCAGAAAATACAGCTTTATTCACTAGGACTGAAAACAAAGGCCCTCAATCAAAAGACTTGAAGATTTTAGTATAAGATGTAGTGCATTACCAGCCCCCTCGGCTTGACCTTGCCAAGTATAGGCCTGAACTGTACATAAACCATGCCCATTGCCATGGCCTGCTGAGATGGTACCCTGGTCAGTAGGCAACAGCTGGTAATCCTAGTTTACCTGACATTTCTGCAATCTACCACATGCTATTCCTTGTGTTACAAAGCCACAGTCTTGGCATCCTTAAAGGGAAATTGAGAGGAAGACCCTGTTGATGAAACCAGAGCCTCCTAGTATGGGCTGTGAGCACGCGCCCCTGGTCCTTGGCACAAACGCATGTGATTCTCAGTGAAGCCCTCAGCTTGGAGCCTTGGCAGGAACCTTGCTGTTCTCTGCCTGGGAAGCATGTGCAGCTGAAGACATGGCTTTTTAAAGGGTTAGGGACTGCTCTCTAAACTCAAGGCTGAGTTCTGTCCAGAAGGGGGCAGCAGAGAGCACCAGGTGCCTTGCATCGCCTACCCTTTTTACAGTTGCTTTCCCTTGAGGGTCTTAGCTGTCAGCAGGTGAAGAACGTCCGCATGCCTGCTAGCTCCCTGAAGCCCATTTGTTACGACTGAGGCTACAAAGATTGCCACCCAGACAAGAGAAGGGCTAGGCTTAGCCTGAGAGTCCTGGAAAATCTGGGATTGACCATTGGATGATGAGTCAGAAGGCCCTGTAGACCAGCTTTTCCAGTGACTAGGCTGAGCCTGGGCCTCCCAGCAGGAAGCCCAGTGGCTGTACCCAGCTAGGTTCAGGGTCTGCAGCAGGAAGCACTACGGCCCTCCCTCTTGACATAGTCGTGCAGCTGGAAGTGGAGCTCGCTGGGGACCTTCATGGAGCGCTGCTTCAACTCCCTGTGGGGCAGGGATGACAATGGGACAGGGTGGCCTATACCCCCAATAAGGGGATACAGACCCTGGATCTGAATCTGGAGGTCTTCCTGGTGACTGCCAGGACTTACTTTGCTATGGCTGTGAAGGCCAAATCCACGTTGAGGCCCATCTTGGCACTGGTCTCCATGAAAGGCAGCCCATACTCCTGCAAACAGCTGCTGCTAGCCAGGAGGCATCCTGGTGGGGACAACCCAGGCCCTACAGTCCCAGGGGGGCACCCCCTAGCCACCCACCTTGCCCAGACTCACCTTGGCCAGTTTTTCCCCATCCTCCCTCTTCACCACACGTTCCTGGGCAGAGTCCACCTGGCACAGGGGTCTTGGTGAGAACTTGCCTGGGGCTCTCCCCACCACAGAGCCAGAGGGACGGGACAGGACAGGACAGGGGCAGGTGCGCACCTTGTTCCCTAGCAGCATGAGCACCACGTCGTGCTGGGCATATTCCTGGATCTCAGTCAGCCAGGCCTGTCGTGGGAGGGCTGAGACCAGACTGGTGTTCCCCACATCCCTCCCTTCTCCAGACCACAGCCCACACTGTCTCTAACAGGAAGGGCCCAGAAATTGACCCATGTGCTATGCTGAGGTGCCCCTGAAAATTGTCCAAGGTACTGGTTGGGCTAATGGAGCTGAGAGGTCAGCCAGGCCACCATTGGCTCATACTCTCAACTTGGGCCACCAAAAGCCCAAAGGGGCCCTCTTTTCCCCCTCCCTGCTGTCAGTAGGGTCCTCAGACCCTGATGCCATCCACTTGAGGGAGGCTGGGGTTGGGCTCAGGCCCTATCACGCATGGCCCATCACTGCCACCACCCCCTTCACCCGCCCAGAAGGAAGCCACTGACCTGGATGTTGTCAAAAGAAGCCTTGTTGGTGACGTCATAGAGCAGTAGCAGTGCTGGGGGCAGAAGGCCAGTGAGGACACCTCCAGTTGCCCACAACCCTTCTCTGAGCAGAAGCCTAGGGAACAGGGCACCCGAAGACACAGACCACAACCCCGCCTCCCTGGGCTGGGACACTGTCCGGGAGCTCACCGTGTGCATCACGGTAGTAGGCATGGGTGACACTGCGGAACCGCTCCTGGCCAGCTGTGTCCCAGATCTGCAGTGACAGATACAGGCCAGTGGTCAAGGCTACCCAGTCCCTCCCAGGTGCCCTCAACTCACCCTCCCCCCCGTTGCCTCACCTGCAACTTCACCTTCATGCCATCCACGTCCAGTACTTTGTTCTGAAACACAATCAGCCAGCTCCAGCAATGAGCCCAGTGCCATGTTCTGGCAGGGGCCTTTGGCTGGTGGGGGGGGTGGGGAGTACAGCAGGGGGAGGCAGGCAGTGCCAGGCCAGGACTGAGCCTGAAATTGATGATCCCCTGGTGTGCCCCTGAAATCAATCTTAAACTTGTCCCTCAGTTGGCCAGGCTCTGCCCCCAACACCCACCTCCTCATTAACCTTACCTCCTAACTGGAGGGCACACTTCTCCTTGAACCCAAGTCCTGGCATCAAGGCAGCTCTCCTCGTGCCTTTGGTGAGCCCCTCCTGATGACATGCTCAGGGCACCCAGGCCTCTCCTCAGATGGACATAGTAATGGACTTGCAGGCCGCTGCCCTCCATGACCATGGGGGTCTAATTCTTGGCCAGATTGTTCTTCCTCTGCCCACCCTGCAGGCCTGGCACGCTGCCTCACCTGTTGCACTGCCCCTTGCCACCACCCATGCCACCGCCCTCCCAGTAGTCACTGAATACAGTTGCTCTGGTCCTCCCCCAGCACTTCTTCGGCCCAGCCCCTTCACCTAGCCTGCCATCCTATCCCTGTGCCCACCAGTTCAGCCTTAACCCACACACCTTTTCCCTGCACTCTCCTGAGTGTAAATCCCAGCCCCCTTACCGGCCACTGGCATCTCTCAGCTCTGACATGCTGCTCCTTTTGTTTGGAACCATTTGTGTAACATTTGAAGTCACCCACCATGTGACCCCCGGTCCATTACTAATACTCTGCGCCTCAGTTTCCCCATCCACAAATGGGGATAACTGCGGTGCCCAACACATGGCTGCTCCAATGACGTGAGCTACCACGTGCAAAGCACTGAGAACTGTGTCTGGCCCAGATCGAGGGCTAAGAGCATTTGCTGTAATTTAAAAGCTGCTCTCCACATGGGGATGGCGGTTCCCTCAGGACAGGGCCCAGTGCAGTGACCAGAATGCAGAACTGCCTTGTATATACACTGGGTGCTTACCATGTGTTTGCGGCCTGGCCATGCTCTCTAGTCAACCCTGAAGGAGTGGCCCAACCCTGATTTCCATCTGCTAGGTGGGGATGGGGGTAGATGGAATGTCACGGTCTCCCTTTTCCCAAGCTCTTGCTATCAGGGTGCTTCTGGGTCTCCAGGGAGCCAAACCCAGCTAACTGCCTGGGTGGGGAGGACACCCCGCCTTCCCTGCCACCTGGAACAGGGGTATGAACCAACCACCTCACCTCCCTCATCACCTGCCCCAGAACCAAGAGGGAGGTGAGAAGGGGGGAAGCAGGGCCACAATAGGCAAAAGACCACTGCCCTGGGCCTACACAGTCCCCTTCTGGCACCTGAACCTTTACACTTTCTTCCAGAGGATCTGAGGGGATCTGGTCCTCCCAAACAGGGTAGAGAATGACTCCCAGGCTGGAGGGAGTCCCCTTTTTTGGTCTCCAGAATAGGCCTTCCTCCCAGTCTCCAACCAACTGGGTCTAATTAAAGGGTGAGAAAAATGCAAATTCAGGATTTGCAGAGAACACATCAGCAACTACACAGCACCTCAGCACTGGCACATCAAATTTAGACTGGTAGACAGAGGTGGATGCTCTAACACTGGAGCCTGGAATGCCTGAGGGTCTCTATCATTTCCTACTGACCCCATAAGCTGCTTGAGGTGCTGGAATGTCTTGGGAGCCAAGAGTCCAGGGCACCCCCAGAAGAACCCCAAGACACAGCCCCTCAGCTGGGGGTAGTTATGGGCCTTTGGCAGGGGAGGGCAGCTGAGTAGGAGCATTTCCCATGAGGCTCCTCACCAAGTCAGGGACTTTCCCCCAAGCAAGCTCCCAATCTCTAGGTAATACACTTTCTCCAGCTGCTGGATGGGGTGTGTGCTCAAGAGCTATAGCCACTTGTCTTGTAGTTCCTGGGTGGCCTGCCTGGCATCTCAGGGTCCCTTTTATACAATGGGACAGTGATACTGGCCTCCCAAGTGGATATGGCCCTTGAGTTCCCTCTGATGGCTCTGGGGGAACCAGTGATCACCTGCCCAGATGCACAGAATCGAGCCCCAGGATTGTTATACTGACCCCAGCCACAGGGGCACCATCTTTACTTCAGTCAGAAGCAGCCACCATCCGCCTCCAGGACCCTTGGGCTCCTTAAAGCATCTCACCTCAACCACCCTGATGCTTGGACTCAGGGGTCCATCCAGGAGCTCCACTTTGTAAGCCCGTCAGTGCCATGGGATAATGGAGAATCAGCTGCCCGGGGTGCTGTGAGAACTCAATGAGCTGGTGTTGGGGTCCCAGGACGTCAACCTCCACTCTTACCCGAAAGTCGATGCCCACGGTGGAGATGAAAGTCCCTGCCAGGAAAGCTCCATCCTTGAAGCGCACAAGCAGGCAGGTCTTCCCCACGCCTGAATCTCCCACCAGCATGACCTGGGGTGAGCAGGAGGGGCAGAGGAGACCAGAGTGCTGGCCCACTTAGAGGAGTGTCTGGTCTTCCCTGAACTGGCCTGGTTAAAAAGCGGCTGGGGATGAGGAGCAGGAGTAGAGGGAGGCACCCCAAGCCCACAAGCGGACCCCAGGACTTGCGTTCAGGACTGCTGGAGATACAGCAGCTACCATCCCAACTGGCCTACACCTCCAGTTTCTACCTCTACAAGTTTCTGTCCCCGACAGAGGCCCACCCCAATCAATGGGGAGTGAGGGCAGCGGCCTCCTTCCATCCAGGGATTTACCTAACCCCCACGCCCCAGGCTCTGGATACCATACTTGATCTAGAAGGGGAGCATCTGGGGCTTGGTGAAGAGCAGAACCCCAGGGGGTTGGTGGCTAGGGACTTCCTGGGAGGCCTGTAAGGGCTTCTATGCCAGCGGGCTTCCAACCCAGCCAGACACAAAAGGAATGTGCCACATAAGGGTCAGATTTTGGCAGGAGGAAGGGCCCAAGACACTTCTGTGGACTGGAAGAGGCAGTCAGGCCTGACCCCTCCTCCACCCTTCCACAGCCTGCTGCCAAAGGCTGCCAAACCCAAAGATCGTCCTGCCAAGGCCCCACAATTTCACAAGTTTCTGCCTTGGTCTGGAGAGCTCCACACCCACTGGCAAACCTCTCCTTACTCTCCCTGCCCTCTAGAAAAAGAGGAGACCCTCAGACACTAGGGGTGAGGGGAAGCAGCATATGGAAAACGATGAGACTGGGGCTGCAGCGGGGGTGGAGGTATTTGGGAGCGGGGAGAGGACGCCTAGCTCTGACTTCCGCGGGGTCCTTTATCTGCCCTGCCATCTGGGGATAGGGTAGGGGGCAGGCCTGTTTGGTATTCCAAACCCAGGTCTCACAGCTGTGTGTGTGTGCGCGCGCGCTCGCGCGATGCGCTGTGGTATGCCAGCCAGTCCAGCCAGCTCCGCGCCAAGGGTTCTCAGAGTCCTGCACCCCTGCCCGGACACCCTCGCGATCGGCTCCTGCCAGACTCCACTTGCTGCGCTCGTATGGTGGGGGTGGGGTGGGTGCCCGGCTCACCTTGAAGGCTACGTCGTAGAAGTCGCCACAACCGCCAAGCGAGGGCCGGCCGGGTTGTGGGGGCCCGTTGGGTGGCGCCTCGGAGCCGGGGCGCGCAGTCCTGGGGCGCGCCGGCCGGGGCCCGTTGGCGGCGGGCAACACTGAGGCAGCGGGCGCGCTGGCCTCCTTGCTCCTGGGAGTCTTCTTCCTGGACATGGCAGGCGGGGCGGGCACCCAGTGAGCTCCCACTGCAGCCGCCGCACACCAACAGCCAGCTGCCCTGCTCCCTGCTCACACGGAGCTCCACCCGGATCCGAACCCGTCGCGTGTAGGCTCTGGCGGCATCCTGGGCGCCCAGCTCTCCACAGCACCCCCCGCCCCCACAACCCGCACCCACTCAGCCCCGGCTCCCTGCCGCTGCCACCAATGGCTGCTCTGGGGCGGGGCCATGCAAATGAGCCGGCCGCCTGAGAGACGGGGTCTGAAGGCCCCTGCACAGCCAAGAGTGAGCTGATTAGTGCACCTCTGTTCGGTGGGCTCAGCTCCGTGACCCGCTCCTGGCCTAGGCTGGGGTGTGAGGCGCTGGGCCTCGGTGAGGGAGCATCCGAAATCCTGTCATCCTCTTTACGCTGCGCCCCACAATGTTGCGCACTGCCTCTTGCCCGGTCACCCCTACTGGACAATTTTCTGGGTCTGGGACCAGGAGAGTGCTCTGAGGTCGGGGGTGCTGAGGTAGTGGACCTACAAGGGGGTGTGGGCACTCTGGAATTCTGTCTCTTCTTAGCCAGGGATGCCACCTGGCCTGTTGCAGGGCCTCCCTCTCCTCCAGGGCAGCCAAGTCCAGGAACTCCGGCTTGGCAAACAAACTCCTGTGCTCCAAGGGCTGGGGCTCAGCACACAGCTGGTTATCAGAGGCAGGACTTAGCAGGCACCAATGAACGTCAGGGCTGAGCTGGCAGGAGCTCTTCCCCACAGCTCCTGCCCACTGGGCTGAAGTTCTGGGATCCTTGGGAAAAGGGAATTTGCTGTCACAGCCATCAGCAGGTTCTCTGTTTTCAAGGATCTCATTGGTGAAGGGGGTGGGAGGCCTCTCGCCCAGGCAGTGGCTGGCCCTTGGACTTCCAGCACCAGGTTCACACTGGTCCTTGGCAGACCCCTTTTCAGGGCTTGACACCTCCTCCGCACCTGGGCTACCTGGGGCTCTGTCCCAGAACCCCTACCTAAGATGCTCTGGGTTTTGAGCATGAGGCTGAGACTGTAATGGAATCCTGGGAGTGATAAACCAAGATGCCCCTCACTCAGGGTTTGGGGGTAATAGGTGCAGCCAAAAGGGCAGCATCCCTGGGATCAGCCTCTGCTCTATATTCTTCTGGGAGCTGGAGGGATGGCCTTGCTCTCCCCCCTCCCAGATGTGACAGGCCCTTCAGAGACCTGAGTCCTGGCAGCTGGCAGTGCCCAGAGCTCAAATAATTATATTGGCAGATGTTCACAGGCTCAGAGGTCTAGAAAAACACAGATGGAGGGATGCTGTCCAGAAGAGCAATTCCTCGAGAGGACCTGGCAGGAACTTGCCTGGGAAAGGCTGTGGAAAGCTGCCCTTCACTGAGCATCACCATGTGCCAGCCACATGCCATCTTCAAAACTGTCCTGTGAGGTGAGTGCTGCTATGATCCTGTGTTCAGATGGGAAAACTGAGGCCCAGAGAAGGAAAGGGAGTGTCCAAGATCACCAGGCTAGGAAGTGACAGAGCCAGGATTTGCACCTGGGAACTCTGGCTCCAGAGCGCATAAAGTGTCTCATGGCAGGGTGGACCCACAGGTCCCCTAGAGACCCATCCCTTAGGGCCCTGTCAGAGCTTCCTGTGAGGTAGCCCCTAGCCTCCTTTCTTGTCTCATCCTTCTGGACTCCCACTTTTTCCAGGCCAATAAATGGCCAGATGTGAGGGTAGTGGGACTGGGGTGGGTTTGTTGGGCTTCCACTGCTATGACTCGAGGTACTCCAGGTGTCCCACCCCTAGGAGCCCAACTTTAGGGTGACCGGTCCAGGGTCTCAGATAGCCAATGCCCCTGGCCCCAGGGTCCTATGCAGTGGACTCCCTGCTTTCTGCTGCCAGTCACTGCTCAGAGCATCCCTAGGTCATGGAGACACTGTGGAGTTTGGGTGTCCTATGGGCTGAGGCTACAGGTAGGGCAGCCTGAGTTGGGGGAAGGGGGAGCTAGTGCTGGTGGGGTGACCAGGAAGAGAGGGGACAGGTATGCTATAGAGGGTAGGAGACCTGGAGGGGAGGAAAGCTGAGAGCAGCAGAGCAGAAAGGTTTGACCTTGCAACCTTTAAAATTAGGAGAATATATGTGAAACTCCAGGTCTCTGGTTTCTCTTGAAAAGAGGGAGCTCTGGGCCCCTGCCTCACAGCGCCCCCCTTGCCTCTCTTGCTTTCCAGCAGTCCTCCTACTATTTGATCATTAAGTCTCTTGGTTCCTCTGTTTGCCATCTGCATCACCCTCTGGAATGTGAGCTGTTTGGGCACAGAAAGTCTCTTGTCTTGGTCACTGCCATATCCCTGGCAGCTGGCTCTGGGCCTCAATAAAGTTATTAAATTGGTAAAAGAAGTATGAGTTAGAAACATGGGTCCCACACTTCAGGAGGACATATCATTGCTAACAGGGATTTAAAGCAGAATGTGTTTCAAAGTGCAATGATAAGACTAGTGTGATTGTCCTGGCCTGTATAGCTCAGTTGGTTGGAGTGTTGTCTCATACACCAAAAGGTTGGGGACCCTGATTTCTAATCAGGGCACATGCCTACATTATGGGTTCAAACCCTGGTCAGGGTGCCTATGGGAGGCTGCCGATCAATGTTTCTCTTTCTCTCTCTCTCAAATCAATAAACATATTTTTTAAAAAAACCAAAACAAGACTAGTGTGATCAAGTAGTAAGAACAGGCATTGGGGAGGAAGGGCATTTTTGCTGGGCTTTGGAGGTTGAGCAGCAGTCCAATAGGCCAGGAGACAGAAAAACTTGCCTGGTGGAGAAAGTGAGTATGTGCAGGCTCAGAGTGCCAGTAGGTGGGCACTTTGAACAGAAGAGGTCAAAGTGTGGTCCAGTTGCTTGCAGGAAATGGCAGGTAACCCAACTGGTAACATAGAAGGGGGACTAGATTATAAGACAAATGTAAACATTTTGCCTATGAACTTGGAAATTGTTCAGCGAGAAGTAGGGAGCCATGCATGGCTTCTGAGTGGAGCAATGGAGGACACTGCTACAGGAATACTGGGCAGCAGCAGAAGTGGAATGGATGGTGCAGCCTGTGGTAAGGGAGATAAGTTTGAGGGGGATGCAGTAACCCAATGGGAGGTAACAGGGACAAAGGGGACCTCCAGGAGAGACCGGATCTGTAGGCCTGGAGTTGAGGCAAAGAAGAATCAGAGTCCATGGGGCAGAGACTGTGAAGTGTCTCGATGGATTAGAGATGGCAAATTCTTTGCTACTCCTCCCAATCACGGTGGAGGGTCTATGTTCCCCGCCCCTGGGTCTGGACAGGAGCTGAGATTGCTTTGCTGGCAGAAGTGATCCTGTGTCTATTTGTGGACTCAGAACTTCCAGACTGGCAGCACCTCCTTCCTGTCTCCTGGAACACTCATTTTTGGAACCCAGCTGCCATACTATGATAAAGCCCAAATAGTTTCTTGGAGGAGCCCTTGTGGAGAGGAACCCACTTGCCAACCTTGTGAGTAAAGAAGGCATCCCGGCAGATTCCAGGCAAAGCAGTTATGCCATCCCACTGAGCCCTGTCCAAAATGCAGATTTGTGGGCATTTGGGGGATATTTGTTATATAGCTACAGATAATGAGGCTGCCAGTCAGGGGAAGGAAAGTGGCCTGTTTGGTGGGGAAAGTCAGGAGGGCAGCCTTGGCTGGATCTGGGGATGTCCAGAATCTTAGGACCTTCAGATCTAGAGAGGAGAAGACCTTCTGCAGGCCAGGTCAGGTTCCTGTGGCAGAGCATGGAGTTGTGAGCCATGGGGTTAAACAGTGCAGGGGTGGGTGAGAGGAAAGTGTCCCACTGGGGAGAGGAGCCTACAGCCCTCAACCCTGTTGGCATAGGACTGGCTCTGCTATGCAGGGGAAGGTGTATATGTGTCCATGTTCCAGCAAAGGGATGGAGCAACCCAAGCTTCCTTGAGGCCTCACTTCTGGACCCCAACCTCCAGCACCCTCTGGCCCTGATTTCTGGTCCCCTTATGCCCTGGGTCTCGAGCTGCTGTACTCCTTTTGGGTGTCTGACCCCCTTGTCCTGGAGTCACACACACACACACACACACACCCACCCACCCACCCACCCCATGAGTCCCAGATGCAACAACACTCTAGGATCTATGGTCTGGGGCAGCCTCTCTCTGGATTCCCATTTTCCAAGCCCTCCTGCTTCACTCCAACATTTGCTCACACACAGGACATGGCCCTTAAGTCAGGCAGGCTCAGGAAGGAATGAGAGTCCTCCTCAAACTTCCAGTCACTGCTTGGAGCTCACTCTTCCAGGCAGCGTTTTCTGACTTTTCCCATTCCCACTTCTTGCTCTGTGGACACTCAAATTTGCTGTCCAGTGGTCCCCTGGGGGTGGGGATTGTGCTGCTCCTGCACCAGACTATGAGCTTCCTGAGGACAGCGTAGATCCTGCCTACTCCTGCCCCCAGCAAACACTGAATGAGCAGCACAGAGCCAGGCTGGACTTCAGGAGTCCTTTAGCAAGGAAGATATGGAAAAGCCCCCAAAGTTTGTGCCCCCTGGGTGCCTTCCAAGAAATCAGTACTACAGAATTCATCTGTCTGAAACCTCAGGGAAGGGAACCCTGGCTGGGAATGGCACCAAAAGATAGGGGTCCCAGCTGGGCCATGCTTTGCTGTGTGACCCTGGGTATGCAGCATCCCCTCTCTGAGCCTGCTCCCCTCTCTGTGAAATGAGGGGGTGGAAGGAACTGATTTCTAAAGTTCCTTTCAGCTCAAACACCTTATGTTCTATGAAATCTGCATGAATGTTGCCATAGAGACATCAGAAAGGAACTGCAGCAGCGCTAAATGTGACTTCCACCCCAAAGAGAGAAGAACCAAATCACCCCAGAAGCAGATGGTGTCAGAGGTGCGCTCTCCCACTGCCCTCAATGCCCAGGTGCAGCCCTCTCATCTTTGTGGTACTGAGGCCCTACCTGGCAGGTGATAAGGTGCAGGTGTCCATCCCTGCCTGAACAAGGGAAGGACTGTTCCATGGAGGGCTGGAACAGAGAGCAGAGCCACCCTCTGCTGTCACTCTCCACAGCAGCTCAGGTCCTCACACGTGAGTAATCTTGGCAGTTTCAGGATGGAAAATGTGCCAGCTGCAG